AGATGAACTACAACTCCCAAACTCAAGGTCAATGCCCACCAAACCCTTCTAGCGTTTTCTGTTGGTCATGGAGTCCTGTGTGCCATGTTTGGCTCAGTTCCATCATTGGTGGAGTTCAGAATAATCTTTGATTGTAGGCAAACTATAAATCCCAGCAACTACAACTCCCAAATGACAAAATCAAAAAATTTTGAGTGATGGTCACTCCTTGGCTTAGTAGCAGAAAGTAGGTGCTAGAAAAATATCATATGAAAGCTGACTGGCACAACCTGGGGATCACAACCAGAGACAGTGAAGACATCTGCTCTTGTGCTTTGGTACTCTGCTGCTGAGTACGTGTGCCCAGTGTGGAACACATCTCACCATGCTAAGACAGTGGATGTGGCTGTTAATTAAACATGCCGCATTATCACGGGGTGTCTGCACCCTACACCACTGGAAAAATGACACTGTCTAGCCGATATTGCACCACCTGACATCCGCCAGGAAGTAGCAGCCAATAGTGAAAGAACCAAGGAAGTGACATCTCCGTCCCATCCCTTGCTGCTCTGAGATCAGAATGAAGAGAGGGGCCATGGAGGCAGTTCCATCTTCTCTCCTGCATTGTGAATATAATATAATATAATATAATATATTGTATATACATATAATATTGATAATATTATAATGTAATACAATATAATACTACTAATATTAATATTATATTATAATTATATCTATATATAAAAATGCTCTGTGCATAATGAGTACCTTAAAAACAAAAGAACCAAGCACTTTCTCATTACTTTATTTTCCAGATCAACAGACTGGGCCACAGCAACACATGGCCGGGGACAGCTAGTATTTTATATTAAATGTAATATTACAGTATAATGTTATAGTACAATGTAATATATAATATTAATATTGTGCTATCGTAATAATATAATATATTGTATTTGCTTTTTACTTGTAAGCGGCTCTGAGTCTCCTTCGGGGTGAGAAGGATGGCATATAAATGTTGTAAATAAATAAATAGTTTGGATATCAACCAGCACGGCAACACCTTAAATCAAGAAATAGTGTTCTAAGATCTATAGATATACCCGCAAGAACACCTCAGCAAGCAAGAGTCTAAAAGTAGCAGGCTAAAACCCAGAACCTCAATCCATGGCTGATGAGGGACTCCCTCCTGGGCACACAGGAGATTGGGCGACCTGGAAGGCACTCTGGCACCATGAGATGCAAAGACAACCTTAAGAAATGGGGCTACAAAGTGGAGTCCATGACATGCGATGTGGAGAAGAGCAAACCACAGACCATCTACTACAATACAGTCTGAGCCCTGCCACATGCACAATGGGGGGCCTTCTTGCAGCAACACCAGAGGCATTCCAAGTGGCCAGCTACTGGTCAAAGGACATTTAGTATAACTCTAAAAAAACCCTCTATGTTCTTTTTTTAAATGCATTGCAACTGTAGCCTTGTTTTGTTCCTGAAATGACTGATAAATAAATAAATAAATAAATAAATAAATAAATAAATAAATAAATAAATTCTCTCATATGCTTTATATAGGTCAGCCCTGGGGCTCTAACCCCACACATCAAATGGAGATCCGACTGGCCGATGATTGCAGTGGAAGAGTCGAATTGCTCCATCATGGTGAATGGGGCACGATTTGTGGAGATGGATGGGGCATTGGGGAAGCCACAGTGGTATGCCAAGAGATGGGATGTGGAACTGGCAGCATGAATCAAAGCAGAACATGGAACAGAAGTGGAACCAGCCCCGTTTGGTTGGATGGCGTCAGTTGCAGAGGGACAGAATCTTCCCTCCATCAGTGCTCGGCAAGTCCTTTGGGGAGACATGACTGTGATAGTGGGGAAAAGGCTTCTGTTGTGTGTTCAGGTAAGTTCATCAACCATGACTAACTTGAATACCTTTTTTTTCAATGACTAGAGTTGACAGTTGTTTTCATAGTTATAAACCATTTATTTAAGATAAATGGTTCTAAATTTGTTATGAACCCAAAGAGGTTCCTGTTCTTTTCTGCAGAGTGTTCAAGGAATTGAAGTTGAGCATGCCCCCCCCCAATAAGAGATAGTAACTTATAGTTTTGCAAAGGGCAAGGGCACCAGACTGCACAATAGGGGTTGAGTCTTGGTCAATATGCAAAGACACTAACAGCAGCAAGGACCCCATGAGGCTTTCAGGGAGTAGATTGGTTCCTGGGCTCCAGCCCATGGAAAGAGTTACAGTTTTCCAAGGACCATGGGACCGGCTTCCATCCCAGTGCTGCAGGGCTTTGTGTCTTGGCCCAGTGGAACTCCATAGACTCCTTTTGGTGACTTTTTGATTTCTGCTACATTCCTGTACTTCACTCTCTTCAAGGACTCGCTCTCTACCCATGAACTTTCTTCAAGACAACTTATGAATTCATGCTGTGTTCTGATATCGCCTGCTTTTTATAATTGGTATTAATAATTTCTCTCTGGGGTCCTGGATTTATTTATTTATTTATTATTTACTTTATTTGTATACCGTTGTTCTCAGCCCGTAGGCGACTCACAGCAACAAGAACAAGAACAGCAAAAATTCAATGCGGCAATAGTACAGTATAAAAGCAATTAACAACACATTATACAATTAATAACAACTGGATGGGAAGATAGCGGCATATGATTTCCCTGTGTGTAATTTCTATATGATTTTTATGTTTCCTTGTATTCCTGACCCTTTGTCCCTTCTCCCTCCAAAGAAATATGTAAGGGAACCCCCTGGCCTTCAGAAACAAAAGCGATTACTGAAACCTCCAGCCAAAGACCCACTTGCAGGGATAAAAGAAAGAGATTCTTATCTCTAGCATCGGGGATGGCCCACTAGAGTAAAGAATTGTTTGGCAAAGTTTCTATCACTCTTCAAGTAAGATAAGGGAAATCTTCCTCTGCTTTTGTTTACTTCACATTGATAGCATTAACCTCAGGCAGCCCTCATTGTTCTCCTGTCTCACAGCCAGGAAGGATCTGGATATTTTACACATGTTGATTCACAACACTCAAAGCAGCCCTGCTTGAGCTCTTTGTCTCACAGGCCACAGGGCATTTCCTTTGTTTAAAGACTCCTTCCCAGATTCCTTTGTGTTCTATCATCCCGTCTCCATCTCTCCTGATTTGCTGTCGCCACCAGGTGGCAGAGGTCTCCCCATTGGATCCTACGGACCACTGGAGCTTCCTGATTGGTCCAGAGGCACCGGAGGCGGGAGGGTTACCTCCCAGCTGTTTGCCCTTCGCCCAATCATGGCGGGGAACATCAGGGCAGCTGGGGCGGGAAGTTTGAACTCTGCAACGTTGAATTTACTATAAATATGACTGCATTGGTGTAATCTCCTCATGCTCTGCTGGCGAACGATTGCAGCTCGGCATCCTTTTCAGCTGAATCGCAAAACTTTGATGGCTTTTCTTCAACTGGTGAGACTTTTCATTGGGAAATCAGGGAAAAATATGGGATGCTTCTCTTCTCACCAGGGAAAAAGAACTCTTTGATGAGTATAATTGGTCTCTGCCTCCTGGCAAAGACCCCTAAATTTTAGCTCTAGATCAGAATGGTAAGGCAGTTTAGACCAATGAGACACTTTAGAGACCAAATTTGGTTTTAACACTATTCATGTAACATTTATTGAAATACAATCATCACAGAATCATATCAGAATCACATCAAGGGAGAGCTCTCGTGCACACACACATTCATGCATACTCACGCACACACAGGCCTCCTCCGGCGAAGATGGTCAGTCTTTTCCGAGAAGGTGTGGACGCTCCGTTGCCATAGATCAGGAAGCATGCATCTTCTTGGGGTACCCTGCATTCATAGGCCAAAATCCATTTCTCTTCTTTTAATAATCAGGTTGTTCTGTCCCTTTCAAGTCCTTGTTCTTTTCAAGTTCGGGACATCCACATACCAGGCCACATGGCTTGTGGGGTACACCTGCACACTCCTTACATGCTCGGTCACACACCTTATTGTTCATTGTTGTTCAGCTATGCCTTACTGCCTCCTCGCTTCGACTGCCAAGTCCGACCCATATCATGCCTTGCGAGAACTCCATGTTGGTTTTTCTTTAGGCCTGTTTCTTCTGCCCTTCTACATACATTCACACATTCATTCTTTACAAATGAGCTCTCAGAATTGAAAACACAACCCTATCTTTTCCAGCAGGCCTACCCAGTCAATTTTAACTATCACTTTTAAACCACATTCTATGTTTACTGTGCTTTAACTTTTGTGTCAGGTGTATTAATATATCTATGTTTTAATATTTGATTTTAACTGTTTTAATGTATGATTTTATGAGGTATTTGACTGTGTTTTGCCCTGCCTCTATCTGTAAGGAGAGGTGAATAATAATAATAATAATAATAATAATAATAATAATAATAATAAGACAGCCCAAGAACTGGCAATTAGAATAAATGCCATCAAAGCCAGATATTGAAAAGTTGACAATAGATCCTAGTGTAGAGTCTACAAGGAAGCAGATGAAACAATAGATCTTATCCTCAGCTGCTTCAAGAAGATCGTGCAGACAGACTACAAGCAGAGGCATAACACCGTTGCTCAGATTGCATGCATTATTCGCCGATACAGCACACAATCATAGACACTTGGGAAAGGTCTGACGTGTGATCCAATACAACGGCCAGCAGCATGATCTTGTTTGCTGTGTACTAATCTTGTTATGTTTCTTCTTCTTCTTCTTCTTCTTCTTATTATTATTATTATTATTATTATTATTATTATTATTATTATTTATCTTTCCCTAATCAGAGGTGAGATTGGTCGACGGTCCAACTCCATGCTCTGGTCGAGTGGAGGTGTTCCACAGCAAGGGCTGGGGAACAGTATGTGACAATGGCTGGGATTTAGAGGATGCCCGTGTGGTGTGCCAGGAAGTAGGCTGTGGAAAAGCTCTAGCAGCAGTAATTGGAGCGAGATTTGGTCAAGGGTCTGGTCCCATTTGGATGGAGCAAGTGAACTGCACAGGGAAAGAGAACGTTTTGAAGAAATGTCCTCAAGAGAAGAGCCTCAATCTCACCTGTGACCACAGGAAAGATGCTGGTGTGGAATGTGCAGGTATACAATATAATATATTGTATATACATAAAATATTGATGATATTATAATGTAATACAGTATAATACTAATAATAATGTTGCTGTTGTTGTTCATTCATTCAGTTGTTTCCGACTCTTCGTGACCTCATGGATCAGCCCATCATAATAATAATAATAATAATAATAATAATAATATATTATTATTATTATTATTATTATTATTATTATTATTATTATATATTTTATATTACATATAATATTACTAATAATATTACAGTATAATGGTATAGTACAATATAGTAATATATAATACTAATATTGTGCTAAGGTCATAAAGTAATATATTGTATTTACATATTACTTGTAAGCCGCTCTGAGTCCCCTTTGTGGTAAAAAGGGCGGCATAGAAATGTCGTAAATAGATAGATAGATAAATAAATAAATAACTGTTATAAACAGAAGACATAGAAAGGTTAGGTAAAAACAGATATTGTATTGTCGAAGGTTTTCATGGCTGGAATCACTGGGTTTTTGTAGGTTTTTCAGGCTACATGGCCATGTTCTAGAAGCATTCTCTCCTGACGTTTCACTTGCATCTATGGCAAGCATCCTCAGAGGTTGTGAGGTCTCAGTGTTCCCTCGCTACTTCATGGTTCCCTTTACGTGGACTTACTGTTTTGCAGATTTTTTTTAAAAAAATGAATTTAAAATATTTATATTACAATGGGCCTCAGAAAGGGAGGCTGATGTGTGATCCCTCACGTCCTGTCACTTCTTTTTGCTCATTTTGTCAGTGGCTCGGGCTTCCTCGTTCTGGGCAGGGATGCAGCCTGCTGGAAACCTTGATGCCGCCCCAACAACATCCAATAATGTATAAATATTACAATTAATATAGCGTCCCTACTTCATGGATTTTCACTTATTGCGGGTGGTCCTGGATTTGTAGGGGCAACTAAACCAAAATATTTCCCAAAAAGGCAGAAGCCCCCTTTCCAATAGGGAGGGCAAGGATGGACACCACGAAAGTTGAATCTTTTATACTGCAAAAAGCTGTTTATTGTGTGGCCATAGCAATAACGACAAACAAGCATACGGGGATGCAATCAAAGGGTTTGTCGCCACCCTCATGGGGCTGCAGAGCATTTATAGTAAATAGAATATACATTTTCATTGGTTCCCAAAGACAAATCATTTCATTGGTCTAAGCCAGCTATACAGTTGTTCATTTGTTGTTTATGATTTTGATTGACATTATAGCACACGTGGGATCCTAACAATGGCACAACTATAACATAACTATAGTCCATTGTTCTCTGACCATGACTGTATCTTATCTGTTAGTTGTAGGTTTTTTCGGGCTGTATGGCCATGGTCTAGAGGCATTCTCTCCTGACGTTTCGCCTGCACTTTGGCAAGCATCCTCAGAGGTAGTGAGGACTGTTGGAGCTAGGCAAAAGGGTTTATATATCTGTGGAATGACTTGGGTGAGACAAAGGACTCTTCTCTGTTTGAGCTAGGTGTGAATGTTCCAACTGACCACTTTGATTAGCATACAATGGCCTGACTGCGCCTGGGGCAAACTTTTGTTGAGAGGTAATTAGATGTCCCTGCCTGTTTCCTCTCTGTTGTGCTGTTGCAATTTTAGAGTTTTTTAATACTGGTAGCCAGATTTTGTTCATTTTCATGGTTTCCTCCTTTCTGTTGAAATTGTCCACATGTTTGTGTATTTCAATGGCTTCTCTGTGTAGTCTGACATGGTGGTTGTGAGAGTGGTCCAGCATTTTTGTGTTCTCAAATAAAATGCTGTGTCCAGGTTGGTTCATCAGGTGCTCTGCTATGGCTGATTTCTCTGGTTGAAGTAGTCTGTAGTGCCTTTCATGTTCCTTGATTCGTGTTTGGGCAATGCTGCGTTTGGTGGTCCCTATGTAGACTTGTCCACAGCTGCATGGTATACGGTAGACTCCTGCAGAGGTGAGAGGATCCCTCTTGTCCTTTGCTGAACGTAGCATTTGTTGGATTTTCTTGGTGGGTCTGTAGGTGGTTTGTATGTTGTGTTTCCTCATCAGCTTCCCTATGCGGTCAGTGGTTCCCTTGATGTATGGCAAGAACACTTTTCCTCTGGGTGGATCTTCATCTTTACTCTCGTGGCTTCTTCTCGGTTGTCTTGCAGCTCTTCTGATGTCTGAGGTGGAGTCTCCATTGGCCTGGAGAGCCCAGTTGAGGTGGTTCAGTTCATCTTGGAGGAGGTGGGCTTCGCAGATTCTTTTTGCAGGTCTGCCAAGGCTTTAATGGTGCTTCTTTTTTGACTTGGGTGATGGTTGGAGTTTTTATGTAGATATCTATCTGTGTGTGTGGGTTTTCTGTAAACGGTGTGACCCAATTGTTGATTTGGTTTACGCTCAGACCCATCGTGAGTGCCATTGGATCCCCCACTTATGACTTAGCAAAATTTCTTGCTGCACAGTTACAAAACCATATTGGGCTCACTACATCAAGGACTCAGCCCACTTCATTGAAAAAATCAGCAATCTCAAGCTAAATACCAATGACAAACTGATCAGCTTCGATGTGGTGTCTCTATTTCACCATGGTCCCAGTAGCAGACACCATGCACTCATCAACCAGAGGTTCCCAGAAGACATCACAGCTCTGTTTCACCATTGCCTCACCACCAGCTACTTTCAGTGGGACAATGAATTCTACGAACAGAAAGATGGAGTAGCTATGGGGAGCCCTCTCAGCCCAGTCATAGCTAATTTCTACATGGAACACTTTGAAAAACAAGCCCTTGAAACAGCAACCAAAAAGCCCACTATATGGTTCAGATATGTGGATGACATGTTCACCATTTGGAGCCATGGAGAAGAAGAACTCAACAGGTTCCTGGACCATCTTAACAGTATCCACCCAAACATCCAGTTCACCATGGAAAAAGAAAAGGAAGGAAAACTGCCTTTTCTAGATGTCCTAGTTATCCGCAAACCAGATCAACAATTGGGTCACATCGTTTACAGAAAACCCACACACACAGATAGATATCTACATAAAAACTCCAACCATCATTCAAGTCAAAAAAGAAGCACCATTAAAGCCTTGGCAGACCATGCAAAAAGAATCTGCGAACCCCACCTCCTCCAAGATGAACTGAACCACCTCAACTGGGCTCTACAGGCCAATGGATACTCCACCTCAGACATCAGAAGAGCTGCAAGACCAAGAACAAGCCACGAGAGTAAAGACTAAGATCCACCCAGAGGAAAAGTGTTCTTGCCATACATCAAGGGAACCACTGACCGCATAGGGAAGCTGATGAGGAAACACAACATACAAACTATCTACAGACCCACCAAGAAAATCCAACAAATGCTACGTTCAGCAAAGGACAAGAGGGATCCTCTCACTTCTGCAGGAGTCTACTGTATACCATGCAGCTGTGGACAAGTCTACATAGGGACCACCAAACGCAGCATTGCCCAACACGAATCAAGGAACATGAAAGGCACTGCAGACAACTTCAACCAGAGAAGTCAGCCATAGCAGAGCACCTGATGAACCAACCTGGACACAGCATATTATTTGAGAACACAGAAATGCTGGACCACTCTCACAACCACCATGTCAGACTACAGAGAGAAGCCATTGAAATACACAAACATGTGGACAATTTCAACAGAAAGGAGGAAACCATGAAAATGAACAAAATCTGGCTACCAGTATTAAAAAACTCTAAAATTGCAACAGCACAACAACAGAGAGGAAACAAACAAGGACATCTAATCACCTCTCAACAAAAGTTTGCCCCAGGCACAGTCAGGCCATTGTATGCTAATCAAGGTGGTCAGTTGGAACATTCACACCTAGCTCAAACAGAGAAGAGTCCTTTGTCTCACCCAAGTCATTCCACAGATATATAAACCCTTTTGCCTAGCTCCAACAGTCCTCACTACCTCTGAGGATGCTTGCCAAAGTGCAGGCGAAACGTCAGGAGAGAATGCCTCTAGACCATGGCCATACAGCCCGAAAAAACCTACAACAACTCAGTGATTCCGGCCATGAAAGCCTTCGACAATACATTGTATCTTATCTGTTAGTCTGTTGCAAACGTGTCTTCAGAGCGACTGGGAAACTTGGGGGTTGTAACTAGCCAACAGTTAGCTGGTTTTGTCCGGATATACTGTTATCCTTGAATAGTAACTTCTTCTTTGGAGCACTGATTTCTCAAACAAGCAGCATTTTCTGTGAACATAGGCCTACTGCAGAAATAGGCCAATATGGCAGTAAATCATGACATATGGGCATTGGGGAAATATCTGAAAATTCCCTTTTTAAAACCACGTCCCCTCCAGAATGGTACACCCGCAATAAGTGAGGGAACACTGTTTTTCTTAATTTTTTTAGGGCTTAGAATGAGATTAAATTTTACAAAATGCGGGTAGCAAAGGAATCACTTCCTCTCCTTATGCTTCATTTTCATTCCATTTCAAATAGGCGGAGAGGCGTGCCAACATGTTTGGCTTCACCTCTCAGCAGAGCTTGGTTTACCTGTGAATTATAACTGTGTCACGGGGCCTTACGAAGAAATTGAAGCGTAAGAAACAAAGGCTTCTTAAGCTTCGATTTCTTAATTTTTTTGGAGTGGACTGTGCGTGCACTTCGGAAATCGCATCGTAAGTACAGGTCATACGAAACTGATCCGACATGCAATGCTTTCCGATTTTATTGCAAATGCCTAATATTGAGTATTTATAGTAACCAAGATCTGTTTCTATGCACTTGACTTCAGGCATCTGAAGAAGTAGACCTTAATTTACAAAAACTTATGATACCAGCTTCTTTCTGCAAAACCCCCTTGGCACTCTCTGCCATTGTCTCCTCTCATGCCATCTTCTCCTGCATCCTTTGCTAGAAACCTACGTAATCCTCATGATAATTTATTTATTTATTTATTTACTTTGCTTATATACCGCTGTATCTCAAGCCCGAAGGCGACTCACAGCGGTTCACAAACAGTAAAAAACAGTAAAAACAGCAGTGGTTCCATACAACATATAACAATTGACTTAACACATTATCCATAAGTTACCAATAAGCAATTACAATGCACAATTATTACAAAAACAACCGTACCCAATCTTCTCATCATCCAAGCGTAGTCCAGGTAAGTAAGGGAACACCTAATGTACACCTAATGTTTTTCTCAGAAAATATTATTTCTATACAGAAATCTGCCTTTTCCATAGAAAATAGTATTTCTGCACAGAAAATTCTATCAGGATAGTCAACAAGCATGATTTTAAATCATTTTTGGAATGGTTGTAAGTATTCTTTCTGTTCCTACCAGCACCAGAAAACCTGATAATGACTGTTGTTCTGCATCCTTCTCAGTGATGAGATTATCCGATGGCCATAATCGCTGTGCTGGGAAAGTTGAGCTCTTCGATGAGGGCCAATGGAGAATGGTAGACTACAAACACTGGCGTTTGGAAGAAGCCAGGGTGGTGTGCAGGTACCTTGGCTGTGGAACTGCTCTATCTACCTCAATCTATCCAATTTTTGGAGAAAAAACTGCTCTCTTTTGGCTGGATGGTTTTTGCTGTAATGGGACAGAGACCTCCCTCAGTGAATGTGAAAGAAGAGTAAGGCGGGAGTCTGATTTCTATAGCCATCAGGTATTTTATGCGGCCGGTGTCGTATGCACAAGTAAGTCACTGTCATGAAAATGTGTACTTGAAACCAGGAGTAGGAAAATTGTTTGTTATTCATCTCTTCTGTACTACTAAAGTAAAATAACAGAATAGAAATGGATAAGAGTCCAAAAGCTAAATGGTTTCTATCTGTCCATCCTGGTCATTCATTTATCTCTGGCCCCATCTAAGTTGCCATATAGTGAAACTGCATTGTCGAGTTGTCTTAGACTCATAATGCGTTATGTGAATGCCAGCCAGTTTAAAGTATGAATTTTAAACTGGTGTCCTTTGTTTAATCCTTGTTTTTTGTATTTTAATATGTCTCTTCGTTCATCTGGGGAGACCCTGCTCTCGCTCCCACCTCCTTCGCAGGCACGATTGGTGGGGACGAAGGAGAGGGCCTTCTTCTCTGTGGTGGCCCCCGACTCTGGAACTCACTCCCCAAGGATATCAGACAAGCCCCCACATTGGCAGTCTTTAGGAGGAGCCTGAAAACGTGGCTGTTCCAGTGTGCCTTCCCTGAATAAAGGAAACAATCCCCTGCAAAATATCCTGAGAAGCACTTTAATTACCCGTTGGGTTGCTCTCTACTTTTGGTTTAAAACCCTCCTACTAGATACATCCTCTGTTCATGTCCAGCACTTATTTTTAAAGTTTTAACTATTACATCTAGCCATAGGTTTTTAAATTTCTGTTGTTATTATCTACCTGTGAGTTATACTAATTGTATTGTTTATTTTGTTTATTATTTGTCGTTTATTATTGCTTGTTGTTTTTGATGTGTTGTTGGGCTTGGCCTCATGTAAGCCGCTCCGAGTCCCTTGGGGAGATGGTGGCGGGGTATAAATAAAGTATTATTATTATTATTATTATTATTATTATTATTGTTATGTATTTTATAGAAATATGTTTTAATATGTATCTTTATTAGAAACACATTTTAATATGTTTATTTGTGGTATTTTTACAATGTTTATACGTTTTAATTATTCTATAATCCGCCACAAGAAGAGGCGGGTAAAAATTAAAATTATTATTGTATTGTCGAAGACTTTCATGGCCAGAATCACTGGGTTTTTTTAAGTTTTTCGGCCTGTATGGCCATGTTCCAGAAGCATTTATGGCAGGCATCCTCAGAGGTTGTCAGGTCTGTTGGAAACTAGGAAAATTGAATTTATATATCTCTGGAAAGTCCAGGGTGGGAGAAAGAACTCTTGTCTGTTGGAGCTAGGTGTGAATGTTTCAGCTGGCCACCTTGATTAGCATTTAATGGCTTAGCAGTTTTCAAGGTCTGGCTTCTTACTGCCTGGGGGAATCCTTTGCTGAGAGATTAGCTGTCCCTGATTGTTTCTTGTCTGGACTTACCCTATTTTTTAATGTTGATCTTTATTTGCTGTTATGATTTTAGAGTTATTTTTAATACTGGTAGCCAGATTTTGTTCAACCAGTGAAGTCTGCCATAGAAGAGCACCTGATAAACCAACCTGGACACAGCATATTATTTGAGAACACAGAAATGCTGGACCACTCTCACAACCACCATGTCAGGCTACACAGAAAAGTCATTGAAACCCACAAGCATGTGGGCAATTTCAACAGAAAGGAGGAAACCATGAAAGTGAACAAAATCTGGCTACCAGTATTTTAAAAAACTCTAAAAGCATAACAGTACATGAAGAACAACATCCAAAAACAGGGAACTCCAGACAAGAAACTATCAGGGACAGCTCATCACCTCTCAACAAAGGATTCTCCCAGGCAGTAAGAAGCGACACCTTGAAAATAGATATATAAGCCCCACTTGCCTAGTTTTCAACAGACCTCACAACCTCACAACCTCTGAGGATGCCTGGCATAGATGGAAGCGAAATGTCAGGAGAGAATGCTTCTGGAACATGGTCATACAGCCCGAAAAACGTGAGAACCCAAAATTGTTGTTGTTGTTTTCTTATCAAAGGGATGATGGATTTTTTATGTGTTTTGAATTGGAATTTAACTCTTCTTTTGCATTACCCGTACTACTTCTCCAATACAACTCAAATAAACATATCTATTAGGCTTGGTTGATCCAAAAAAAAATTCAAAACTCGTTTCGGATGTAGGGGACGCTGGTGGTTCAATTCGGAAAAGAATTCCAAATGCTTCCGAAAAAAATTTCTGAACTTTCTGAAATTTCCAAATTGCTTCGTCATTGGCGGATGTGATAGCGCAACAGCCCTTCTCCCTGCCCTGGTTCTCTGCTGCCCTGCTCTTCTTCTCCCCCAACAGCAACAACACACAAGTGGCTGCAAGGCAGGCAGGCAAGCAACAGCCCTGCTCCCTGCCCTTCTCCGCTTGCCCTACTCTTCCAACTACTCTTCTTCCAACCACCCTTCAAAACCTCCCTTCTCTTTCACTTTCTCCTTCCCTTCCCGGGCTCACAATGAGCCTCTGAGCCATGTGCTGCCCTTTATATAGCGCGATGGCTGCCGTGTCGAAACCCTGCCTGTCCCCTCCCCAAAACTTCTCCCCTCATTGGTAGGAAAGCATCCCAGCATGCAAGCTGCTTGCCTCTAAACACGGAGTCACTTCCGACTCACTTCCTGAGTCAAAAGAAAAATGGCGAGAGAAGCTTCGGAAGGGCAAAGAGACTTTTCTTAAAAACTTCAAAATCGCTTTGGAAAGATAATTTTCCCAACTTTATTCCCAATTATGAAGACTCCGACAGCACCTAACAACCATGCCTAATATCTATTTATCTGTTTTTCCCTTCCTACCCCACAAATATCTTCATAGGATTCCTGATCTTTATTGAGATTCCCTAGGAAATTCCCTAGGACTGAAAAATTAGTGTGACGCTGTAACTCTTCTGTTTCATCAGAGCTTCGCCTTGTGAATGGCTCCAGTAACTGTTCTGGAATGGTCGAGGTGTTTCACAATGAAACATGGGGGACTATTTGTAATGCTGGCTGGGATTTAAAGGATGCCCAAGTTGTGTGCAGGGAACTGGGCTGCGGAAAGGCCTTAAGCGCATCTGGTGGAGCACGTCTTGGAAGAGGGACTGGTCCCATCTGGCTACAGCAAATGAACTGCACAGGGAAAGAAGACTTTTTAAGGCAATGTCCCAAAGGACAGTGGGGAGAACACAGCTGTAACCACAGCAGAGACGCAAGTGTGGAATGTGCAGGTAGGATTGTATCACTATAAGATAATGAATACAGGCAAGTTGCCAAGTTGTTATTCTTGTTATTTGCCATCGTGTTGACTTTGACAACCTCATGAATGGAAGGCCTCCAAGACCTTGGACTATCAATTATCCTGCTCCTAGAATCATAGAGTCATAGAATCAAAGAGTTGGAAGAGACCTCATGGGCCATCCAGTCCAACCCCCTGCCAAGAAGCAGGAATATTGCATTCAAATCACCCCTGACAGATGGCCATCCAGCCTCTGTTTAAAAGCTTCCAAAGAAGGAGCCTCTACCACACTCCGGGGCAGAGAGTTCCACTGCTGAACGGCTCTCACAGTCAGGAAGTTCTTCCTCATGTTCAGATGGAATCTCCTCTCTTGTAGTTTGAAGCCATTGTTTCGTGTCCTAGTCTCCAGGGAAGCAGAAAACAAGCTTGCTCCCTCCTCCCTGTGGCTTCCTCTCACATATTTATACATGGCCCTCATCATATCTCCTCTCAGCCTTCTCTTCTTCAGGCTAAACATGCCCAGCTCCTTAAGCCGCTCCTCATAGGGCTTGTTCTCCAGACCCTTGATCATTTTAGTCGCCCTCCTCTGGACACATTCCAGCTTGTCAATATCTCTCTTCAATTGTGCTGCCCAGAATTGGACACAATATTCTAGGTGTGGTCTAACCAAGGCAGAATAGAGGGGTAGCATGACTTCCCTAGATCTAGACACTATGCTCCTATTGATGCAGGCCAAAATCCCATTGGCTTTTTTTGCCGCCACATCACATTGTTGGCTCATGTTTAACTTGTTGTCCACGAGGACTCCAAGATCTTTTTCACACGTACTGCTCTCGAGCCAGGCGTCCCCCATTCTGTATCTTTGCATTTCGTTTTTTCCTGCCAAAGTGGAGTATCTTGCATTTGTCACTGTTGAACTTCATTTTGTTAGTTTTGGCCCATCTCTCTAATCTTTCAAGATCGTTTTGAATCCTGCTCCTGTCCTCTGGAGTATTGGCTATCCCTCCCAATTTGGTGTCGTCTGCAAACTTGATGATCATGCCTTCTAGCCCTTCATCTAAGTCATTAATAAAGATGTTGAACAGGACCGGGCCCGGGACGGAACCCTGCGGCACTTGTCCTGGGCCTGGTCCTGTTCAACATCTTGTAAATTCAAGTCCACAACGTCCTTGATTTGAATAAGGCCATCTGTCATAGGCGTCTTTTTTTCTACATTCTTCCATTTTACTAAACATTATCATATTTTAATATGAGTCACATTAATTACAGAAATGTTTGGTTTTACTGGTTTTGAGGGTATAGCTTTTCCAGTTACTAACTCACCATTCAGGACAGCAAATGTTGTCCCTCTTTTCAAGGGACAACATTTGACATCAATACCAGGAAAAGTGAGTAGTGGGATGCCGCGGGATTCTGTCCTAGGCCCGGTGCTATGCAATATATTCAAAATCCAATCATCACAAGGACAGAAAGTGAGGTGATATCTTTTGAATCTTCTGAACAAGGACAACAACAGCATTTATTTATTTATTTATTTACAGTATATATATTCCGCCCTTCTCACCCTGCAGGGGACTCAGGGCGGATTACAATGCACATATACATGGCAAACATTCAATGTCATAGACACACAACATATGTAGACAAACACAGAGGCAATTTAATATTCCAGCTTCATGAGGGTGTGTTCGAATTCCAGCCACCAGGGGAACTGTTGCTTTACTGTCAACCTGTGACACCGAGTCCTTGATGGAGTACTTCCTCATTCTTTTGCCCGCTGCTGGCATCGTAAATTAGGAAACTCTTAGCAATATGTCCTCAAATGCACTTTAATATTGATTTAGGATTGTCTGCACGCCCTCATCTTTCTCTGAAAACCCTATCCTAGTTTACCCTACCTTGTTCATGCCCAGCATTTTTAAATTTTAATTATTACATTTGGCCCGGCCATAGGTTTTAAATGCTGTATGTTATTGATATTGTTATTGTTTATTGCTTATTGTGTACTTTCTGTTTTTGAGTTTTTTAACTGTTTTGTATTGATTATTTGTTATTGTTTTTGTTTATTGATGTGCTGTGGGCTTGGCTTCATGTAAGCCGCACCGAGTCCCTTGGGGAGATGGTAGCGGGGTACAAATAAAATTTTTTTTATTATTATTATTAAATTAGCCTTCCTGCATAAATGGTACCTTAAAGCAATGGTATTCCCCATAGTCACCTACAGATGTGAGAGCTGGACCATAGGGAAGGCTGAACGAAGGAAGAGAGATGCTTTTGAACTGTGGTGCTGGAGGAAAGTTCTGAGAGTGCCTTGGACTGCGAGAAGATCCAACCAGTCCATCCTCCAGGAAATAAAGCCCGACTGCTCATTGGATGGAAGGGTACTAGAGACAAAGTTGAAGTACTTTGGCCACATCATGAGGAGACAGCAAAGCCTAGAGAAGACAATTATGCTGGGGAAAGTGGAAGGCAAAAGGAAGAGGGGCCGACCAAGGGCAAGATGGATGGATGGCATCCTTGAAGTGACTGGACTGACCTTGAAGGAGCTGGGGGTGGTGACGGCCGACAGGGAGCTCTGGCGTGGGCTGGTCCATGAGGTCACGAAGAGTCGGAGACGACTGAACAAATGAACAACAACACAAATTTCGTACTTGACAGATGCAACTGTCTTTTGGGTTGCAAAGGTCGACAGCAAGCTAGACTAATGGTCGGGAGCTTACTTTGACCCAGGCTGGCCTCAAACTCATGACTTTTCAGTCAGTGGTGATTTAATGCAGCTGACTCCTAGCGAACTCCCCCACAGCCCAGTCATGAGTTAACCCTTTCCTATGCTAACTGAAACTTATACACACACAAACACACACACACACACATATATATATACCTGGAGCTACACTTTAAATATGTAGCTGTTCTAGCTTACATACAAATTCAGCTTAACAACAAACCTACAGAACCGATCTTGTTCATAATTTGGGGACTGTCTGCAGGGTCTACATCAAGTGAAGTCATGGTGTGTTCAGTTCTGGCCACCTCAATTTAAGAGAGATATTGACAAACTTTAACATGTCCAGAGCAGGGTGATTAAAATGATCCAAGGTCTGGAGACCACTGATATCCACCTAGTCAAAGCCATGGTATTCCCTGTAGTAACCTACGGATGTGAGAGCTGGACCTTAGGGAAGGCTGAGCGAAGAAGATCGATGCTTTTGAACTGTGGTGTTGGAGGAAAGTTCTGAGAGTGCCTTGGACTGCGAGAAGATCCAACCAGTCCATCCTCCAGGAAATAAAGCCCGACTGCTCATTGGAGGGAAGGATACTAGAGACAAAGTTGAAGTACTTTGGCCACATCATGAGAATACAGCAAAGCCTAGAGAAGACAATTATGCTGGGGAAAAGTGAAAAGTAAAAGGAAGAGGGGCCGACCAAGGGCAAGATGGATGGATGGCATCCTTGAAGTGACTGGACTGACCTTGAAGGAGCTGGGGGTGGTGACGGCCGACAGGGAGCTCTGGCGTGGGCTGGTCCATGAGGTCACAAAGAGTCGGAGATGACTGAACGAATGAACAACAACAATAATATAATATATTGTATGTATATATATCTCGTAAGCTGCTCTGAGTCCCCTTCAGGGTGAGAAGGGTGGCATATAAATGTCATAAATAAATAAATAAATAAATAAATAAGGTGATAGTCAAAACATGTGAGTTAAAGTTTTGTCAGTAAGCACATATATTGTAATTTCAGATGCTTTCAGGGAGTGACTCTATAGTAGGTATGGACAAAAATCCCAGTCAGCTTGCCAGCTGTTAGGAATTGTGGGAACTGAAGTCCAAAACACACGGAGGGCCAAAATTTGCCCATGCCCGCTACAGAGTCACACATTCTGGCAATATTTCTGAACTGCTCTCACCATGTGGTTATCCGTGTTGTATCTTTGGTGAGAAGAAGTAACAGGAGTCATGCCTATTTCAGGTCCAAGAAAGATCAGATTGGTGAATGGTTTCAGTCGATGTTCTGGAAGGATTGAAGTATTCCACAACCAGGAGTGGGGGATCCTGTGTGACCTCAAATGGGATCTGAATGATGCTCGGGTTTTGTGCAGGGAACTTGAATGTGGAGATGTCATCTCAGTCCCTTGGGGAGTTCGTTTTGAAAGAACCAACAGTCCTGTCTGGTTACTCAGTTTCCACTGTAAAGGAACAGAAAATGCTCTCAGTGACTGTAAAAAACGTCCAACCAGTGGAGTTCCACAGTGCCACCATGGAGAAGGTGCTGGAGTTGTGTGCTCAGGTAATGTATAGGAATATACTCAACAATACCATATATCCCCCTCAACTGCAGGCAAATGGATATAAGTAATTTTATTTAAGTCCTCAGAGGTTGTAAGGTCTGTTGGAAACTAGGAAAATTGGGTTTATAGATCTGTGGAAAGTCCAGGGTGGGAGAAAGAACTCTTGTCTATTGGAGGCAGGTATGAATGTTTCAGTTGGCCACTTTGATTAGCATTTAATGGCCTAGCAGTTTTTAGGTGTAGCTTGTTACTGCCTGGGGGAATCCTTTGTTGAGAGGTGATTAGCTGTCCCTGATTGTTTCCAGTCTGGAATTCCCCTTTGAGTGTTGTTCTTTATTTACTGTAATAATTTTAGAGTTTTTTAAAATACTGGTAGCCAGATTTTGTTTATTTTCATGGTTTCTTCTGTGCCGTCGCGCCTGGGGCTATAGGTCTTAGTGAAAGATACATGGACGTGATATCTCTCCCCAGGGGATTGCTTCTTGCCCTCCTTTAGGAAAACTGGAACTCCCAAGGACCAAAACACTGTAGATAACTCAAAATAGGTTTATTGTTCACAAAGAGTTATCCCTTTAAGGCAATAAGCTGGAAGTTTCAAAGGGGTAAAGGAAAATATACATTACAGTCTCTGGTTGTCTTGGGTCCAAGGAGTTTTGCAGCTGAGAAGCTTTTCCAGGTCCCTCTTTCTCAATGGCTGTGAATATCGGAATAATCACAACCCCAATTCCAATGGCCTATATTTTGAAGGCACAAAGGTTTCCTCTGGTGCCAAATAACTGGTTTGAAGGCGCTTGAGACTTCTCAACGTCGTCCAGGTTGATCTGAACATGAAACATAAGTCTCAAGAGTAAAAACCTCAGAATTGGTGCTGAGAGGTAACTTAATCAAGGGCTTCAGAGCCAAGTCTCTTTCTCACGTCCATCTGATAGAAAGTTTGATGGTGGAATGGAAAAGGAAACACTGTCCTGCTCTCTAGGAAGAGGTGGGGGTCAAACAATTGAGTAGGAGGAGCAATTCAACTGATGCAAACAACATTGATTGACAGCTATAAATAACCAATCAATCCAACTTACAGGGTAAAAAGGCAAAATCAGGCATGATACAACAGTTCAAATCCTGCAACCTACAGTTCTACATATAGGCGGCACCACTTGCGCTGTCACATCTTCCTTTCTGTTGAAATTGTCCACATGCTTGTAGATTTCAATAGCTTCTCTGTGTAGTCTGACATGGTGGTTGTTAGAGTGGTCCAGCATTTTGTGTTCTCAAATAAAATGCTGTGTCCAGGTTGGTTCATCAGGTGCTCTGCTATGGCTGACTTCTCTACAGTGCCTTTCATGTTCCTTGATTCATGTTTGGACAATGCTGTGTTTGGTGGTCCCTCTGTAGACTTGTCCAGAGCTGCATGGTATACAGTAGACTCCTGCAGAGCTGAGAAGATCCCTCTTGTCCTTTGCTGAACGTAGCATTGGTTGGATTTTCATAGTGGGTATGTAGATAGTTTGTAGGTTCTGTTTCTTCATTGGCTTCCCTATGTGGTCAGTGGTTCCCTTGATGTATGGCAAGACAATGAAAAAATAGATAACTATTCATTGTCTCTTTGTTAAGATAGGTTTTTTACCCCACTTGTGCTGCAACTGCTATGACTAGATTTGTCATCGCTGAATCTGAAACCCTAGGTCTTGGTGGTGGCCAGGGGAGCATTTGCACAATTAAAACTTGTACGCCAGCTGCGTTCCGTACCTTGGGAAGTGTGACATGGCCACTGTAGTCCACGCTCTGGTTACATCCCATATAGACTACTGCAACGCGCTCTACGTGGGGTTGCCTTTGAAGACTATTCGGAGGCTTCAAATGGTCCAACAGACGGCAGCCAGATTGCTCACCAGAGTGGCATTCAAGGAGCATACAACTCCCTTGTTACGCCAGCTGCACTGGCAGTCAGTTTGCTACCAAGCACAATTCAAAGTGCTGGCTTTAGCCTATAAAACCCTAAATAGTTCCAGCCCAGCTTACAACCTGTCCGAACGTATCTCTCCCTATGAACCATCTAGGAGTTTAATATCATCTGGAGAGGCCCTGCTCTCGGTCCCACCTTCTTCACAGGCACAATTGGTGGGGAGAAGAGACAGGGCTTTTTCAGTGGTGGCCCCTCAGCTATGGAACTCCCTTGGGATATTAGATCAGCCTTTCCCTCCTGACCTTCTGCAGAAAAGTAAAACTATGGCATTTTGAACAAGCCTTTGGGAACCTAGTGCAATAGATAAACACGGAACTATGTGAAATTGAATACTGGAATGGCTTAGACGATGTTTTTGGACGATGAAGCTAATAGTGAAGGTAGTGGTTTTATATGTTTTTAATGTATGTATTTTATATTTCTGTTTTAAATGTTTATTGTAATTTTTACATTGTTTTAATGGCACTGAATAGCTGCCTATGTTGTAAAGCCGCCTTGAGTCACCTTCGGGTTTGAGAAAGGAGCGGTAGAAATATAGTAACTAAATAAATACATGTATGACTTACTGCAGAATTTTCTCATTTTTCCATCAGAGCTCCGCCTAGTAAACGGCCCCAATCGCTGCTCTGGGCATCTTGAGGTGTTATACAACCAGCAGTGGGGGACTGTGTGTGACATTGGCTGGGACGCCCATGATGCTCAAGTTGTGTGCCGGGAACTGAATTGTGGAGATGCCTCAACAGCATTTGGGGGAGTTCGCTATGGCCAAGGGTCTGGTCTGATTTGGCTGGAGAATGTGAACTGTACAGGAGAAGAAACTTCTCTGGCTGCATGTCCCAAAAGCCCCTGGGGAAAGCACAGCTGCAACCACAGCCAGGATGTGAGTGTAACGTGCTCAGGTGAGTTTCTAGAATTACAGGTAGTAGTAGAGGTGGGGCCAATGGAAAATGCTGAGCACCAGGTTTTATAGTTAATAGGTTGGACATTTTCTCTCCAAGAAAACCAATGATAGAATCATATAGTTGGAAGAGACCTCATGGGCCATCCAGTCCAACCCCATTCTGCCAAGAAGCAGGACAATCGCACTCAAAGCACCCCCAACAGATGGCCATCCAACTTCTGTTAAAAGCCTCCAAAGAAGGAGCCTCCACCACACAACAGAGCAGACAGTTCCACTGCTGAACAGCTCTTACAGTCAGGAAGTTCTTCCTAATGTTTAGGTGGAATCTCCTTTCCTTTAGTTTGAAGCCATTGTCTCCAGAGCAGCAGAAAACAAGCTTGCTCCCCCCCCCTCCCTATGACTTCCCCTCATATATTTATACATGGCCATCATGTCTCCTCTCAGCCTTCTGCAGGCTAAGCATGCCCAGTTCTTTAAGCTGCTCCTCTTAGGGCTTGTTCTTTAGACCTTTGATCATTTTAGTTGCTCTCCTCTGGACACATTCTAGCTTGTCAACATCTCCCTTCAATTTGTTAGAATCAAAGAGTTAGAAGAAACCTCATTGGCCATCCAGCCAAGAATCAGGAATATTGCATTCAAATCACCCCTGACAGATGGCCATCCAGCCTCTGTTTAAAAGCTTCCAAAGAAGGAGCCTCCACCACACTCCAGGGCAGAGAGTTCCACTGCTGAACAGCTCTCACAGTCAGGAAGTTCTTCCTAATGTTCAGGTGGAATCTCCTTTCCTTTAGTTTGAAGCCATTGTTCCATTGCATCCTAGTCTCGAGAGCAGCAGAAAACAAGCTTGCTCCTCCCTCCCTGTGACTTCCCCTCATATATTTATACATGGCCATCATGTCTCCTTTCAGCCTTCTGCAGGCTAAGCATGCCCAGCTCTTTAAGCTGCTCCTCATAGGGCTTGTTCTTTAGACCCTTGATCATTTTAGTCACTCTCCTCTGGGCATATTCCAGCTTGTCAACATCTCCTTTCAATTTGTTATAAATGGTAGTTCCTAATTGGTTCTGTCATAAAAATCGCCAATAATGAAATAGTAATGAAGTTTTGTTAGAGTTCCGAAATTTTCACCACCAGAAGCACCAGCGCCCCCTAGTTTTCACCACCGGAACTTTAGTTTTGTAAGTACTTTAGAACCATTTAGAACCACAAATTGCCCATACCTATCACTGGGATTTATAGTTCCCCAACAATCAAAGAGCATTCTGAACTCCACCAATGATAGAATTGGGTCATACTTCTCACACAGAACCCCCATGACCAACAGAAAATACTGTGCTTTCTGATGGTCTTTGGTGACCCCTCTGACACCCCCCCGCAGCCAAGGATTCCGACTCCTAGTTTGAGAAACACTGGTGTAAACTATTCCAGGTTTCACTTTGTTAGAAATGTGGTTGCACTTTTTATCTCCAAGAGCGTATCTGTTCTGTTGCGCGTTGGGCTTGAAACGAATTGCTTTTAAAACAGGACATGCAACTTTAGCCCATCGGGAAGCCAGGGGGCCTGAAGAGAAATTTGTAAGGATTTTCACCATAAACAGTCTTTGGAGGGCTTGTAAAATATAACAAAGTCTTTTATTGGTGAACAATCAACAGAAACTTCTTTTGTCTTCAAAAGGTTAAACAAATGCTTCCAGGCTTTTGTGCAACTGGTGGCTTCTAACTGTTACTTTTACTCTAAAGGAAAATCCCTTTCCAAACTTCTCCCAGGCTAACTGTGATCCGAAACCTAACTAATGTGGATCCACTACCGGGCTGAACTGCGTCTCAAAACCAAGTGGACCTACCAGTAGGCCTGTAGTTCCTTAGCTGGAGTTCTTGATGTTTAAAGCTGTTATTCCCTCCAAAATTCCTCGGGGCTGTAAGGCTGTTTCCCTGGGAACCTTTGGGAATCTTTAGATGCTCTTAAGACTGTTCTCCTCTGGGAAGTCTTAAGGGTTGAAGCCTTTGTACAGGAGAAAGTCTGTACACGTCCTGTACATTGACTTTGATATCGAGCTCTTTTGGGAGGGTCTCCCCAGCGGAGGAGATCCCTGAGGACCGCTCAAAAGGGCCCTTGAACCTTGGTGAGGCCAGCGGGAGCCAATCAGAGCCGCGAGGAATATTAAAATAATAAGACCTCAGCAAAGTGGAAGAAGTTCAGCGACCGAGGCGTTTATTTAGCGATTCAGCTGATATCGGATGCATTGCAGGAATCATTCCACCGCAAGCATGCCAATACAAAGAATACAGGCATATTTATACAATTTTGAAAACCCAGAGTTCAAAAGTTCCCTCCCCGGCTCCTCTGACGTTCCCCGCTGTGATTGGGCAACAGGGCGAGCAGCTGGGGAGGAGCCTCCCGCCCCCTGGGCTCCTGTTGCCCGCCGGCCAGCGAATCAGAAGAGGGGAGGCGGGATGATCGTGGACAATGGGAAGGGAAATGATGGGCTTAGAAGTTTCCTGCCCACTGGAATGCGGGCTTTGTTTCAGGCAGGCAAGGTGTGATCTCGACAAACAAAGGCTTTCCTGTCCTTGATGGGCTTCTGGAGATAAAGTAATCATAACTAGATCGGTCGCGGACCTCCGGGGGATCAACGCGGCCTTATGCAAATACAGTCCTTTTTTCCAAATGTCCATAAGACCCCTTATCCCATCAGACATGCTCAGAAAACAGGTAGGGGGTCGTTATGGTCACTGTTCCATGCAAGATGAAATGATCAAGGGTGATTGAGGGAGAGGCTGGAGCCTTCCCTCGGGCAGTTCCTGGTCACAGCAGTTTTTGTGGGGCAAGGGTCAAGGGGAAAGGGGGGACAGACCATATTTCATAGCAAGATACATACATTCAAATCATAAGCATTTCATGGCAACAAAACCCCATCTTTGTCCCACATCCCAAGTATATTTAATAGAGGAATTGATTTTAATTGAAAACTTGGAGTCCCATGGTTCTGGAGAAAGTTTGTGGAAATGGAGGTGGCTTGCAGTTCAAAGCAAGCAAGCAGAAAGTCATTTTTCCCTGGTTAAGGTTAGCAGATGGGCGCTGAGTTGACTGGTAACAAGATCCATAGCTTGGTCTTTGGGAAACTATAACTCTCATGGAGGGCAGAAGTCCCAAGGTCCAGCCGTTTCCCAAAAGCCTCGTGGGGTCCTTGTTATTGTCAGTGCTTTGGCAATGTGACCAAGACTTGATCCTTGCTGTGTAGTCTGGTGCCCTTGCCCTTGGCAGAACTATAAGTATTTGGGGGGGGGGGGGGGTGCTCGGCATCAACTTTCCTTGCTGAGACTAACTGAAAATGGCTCCCTTCCCTTCTCAATTGTCCTGAACAGGGGGTGGAACCAAACTTAACGATGATGGACAGGGGGCCTGCCCTATAACTGCAAACTTTAACAGGAAGCCACCCTTCTGCAGAATCCCAAGCCTTGGGCTGCAAGCAAACACTTAATACAAGGCAAATAAAGTGGGAGCTTCTGGTACAGCTGTACCAGCTCAGTATCTCTGTAGCTCTCTGTTCTCAAGTGAAAAGCCAGACCCCTTCCCTTTCTCTAGCCTTGACTGTTCTGGAAATAGAAATTGTGTCTCTCTGTGTCTTTTCGTTCTCTGGGGCAGCATCAAGTATGTGGAATTAAAACGGTGGTTCCTGGAACATCCAGACATTTCTGTTTTTCTTTGGATTTTGCTGTGATTGAGCCAAAGACTCCCTAGTTCTTAAATGACCACTCAAACACTTGGGCAGCCTCAATGTGCAAAGCCTTCTCCTAAGGAGAAGTTGGAAAATAGCTCTCTTTTTCATCATTTCAGGTCAGGTTAGATTGGTCAACGGCTCAAGTTTCTGTTCTGGGAGAGTGGAAGTGTTCCTGGAGCAGCAGTGGAAAGCCATTTGCGATGATTACTGGCATCTAAATAGTGCTGGAATTGTTTGTAGGACACTGAACTGTGGACAAGCCTTATCAACCCCAAGAGGATCCCAATTTGGGAGGAAATATAATCCCCTCAAGACAAAACTTAGTTTTTGTAAGCTGGCCGGGGATTCTTTTACAAACTGTGACTTCAGGGATTGGGGACCCTGCAACTCCGGAGGATCTGCTGGCGTGATTTGCTCAGGTAATGAGTCAGGGTACCCTGTGACCAGGAAAAGTCACACACGTTTATTACTGTAGCAGCAGAGTGTCTTGTGAATTTTAAACTTTTCCTTTCTTCTTGTTAGTTCACCTTGAGAAATTCCAAAGGATGCCTCTTTTAGTTTTTTGTTTGTTTGTTTGTTTTATTAATTTATTCATTTCAAGTATTTATATCTCATCCTTCTCACCTCTGAAGAGGGACTCAGCGCGGCTTACAACAGGCAGCCATTAGATGCCAACACAATACATTAATATCATAGTTACAATTGACACAGTTAAAACAGTTGTAAACATTCAATTTAACAATACTTTGCCGGTTCAAAATAATTATATTCTGCATTTATATGCCGCCCTTCTCACCCCGAAAGGTAAATCAAGAAATAGTTTTCTAAAATCTACAGAGACACTTGCTGGAACACCCCAGCAAGCAAGAGTCCAAAAATGGCAGGCTCAAACCCAGAACCTCAATCAGTGGCTGATACCCAATGAGAGACTCCCCCCTGGGCACAGAAGACTGGGCGACTTGGAAGGCGCTGAACAGACTGCGCTCTGGCACCACGAGATGCAGAGCCAACCTCAAGAAATGGGGCTACAAAGTGGAATCCTCGGTATGCGAGTTTGGAGAAGAGCAAACCACTGACCACCTGCTGCAATGCAACCTGAGCTCTGCCACATGCACAATGGAGGACCTTCTTGCGGCAACACCAGAGGCACTCCAAGTGGCCAGATACTGGTTAAAGGATATTTAATCAACTACCAAGCTTGCAAACTTTGTGTTTTGTCTGTTTGTTTGTTTTGTTAAAAATGTAATGCAAATGTCTGGTTGCTCCTGACACGATAAATAAATACCCCGAAGGGGGCTCAGAGCGGCTTACAAGATATATATACATACAATATATTATATTATTAGCATAGTACAGTATCAGTATTATGTATTACTGTATTGTACTATACCATGATATTGTAATATTATTAGTAATATTAGTAATATTACATCTAAATAAATAAAAATGTAATGTTTGTTTGTGGGATTAACACAACTCAAAAACCACTGGATAAATTGACACCAAATTTGGACACAATACACGTATCAGGCCAATGAGTGACCTTCACTCATAAAAACAGCAAAAGACACAGCAGGGGAGACTGGAACAGCCAAAAAACAAAAAAATACATTACAACACATGCACACAACCACATATATATGCAAACACACACATATACACATATACACAAATATATGCACACACAAAGCACGTATACACAGACTGTGCGATAGCAACGCATGGCAGGGGACAGCTAGTGTAATATAAAATATATAATTATAATATTGTATTGTTATTATTAGTATTATATTGTATTACATTATAATATTATTAATATTATTATATCCCCAGATAATAATCAAACCGGATGGTAATTGTCATTCAATAACATCTGGGGACCAAAACTGGGTAAAAATTAAAGAGCATCAAGCACTACATAATAATCATCACCATCACCATCATCATCATCATAATCCAGATCAATCCATTGTGAACAACTAAAAACATTCCCTTCCCAGTTGATCCATCTATTGTCCAAATGCTTGATCCCACAGCCAGGATTTGAGTTTTTTTTTTTTACAAAAGGCCAGGAGGGAGAGGGCAGATTTATTGTCATTGAGGAGCCACCAAGGAGAAGGCCCTGTCTCTCATCTCCACCAGTTGTGACTGCGAAGGAGGTGGGACTAAGAGCGGGGCCTCCCTGGATGATCTTAATGTCCTTGGTGGTTCATAGAGGGAGATACAGTCAAACAGGTAAACTGGGCTTGAACCATTTAGGGCTTTATAGGCTAAAGCCAGCACTTTGATTGTGCTCAGAAGCAAATAGGCAGCTAGTGGAGCTGGTATAACAGGGTGTTGCATGCTCCCTGTACCCCACTCCAGCGAGCAACCTGTCCACCGATCGTTGGACTAACTGGAGCTTCTGAGCAGTCTTAAAATTAGTGGATGACTCAAACATCCTGAACCTTGGGGGGCTTGCAGTCCTAAATGGGTCCTCCAAGTGTGGCCATTTTCATCCTGATAGTGTGAAGATCCCTTACCTTGCCAGCCAGGGTGGCAGGGCCCAGGAAGAGACAGGCTAGGTAGTTTCAGCTTAGAAGGCCTGGCAGAGAGCTGCTGGAGCCATTTTAGTTTAGGGAAAAGCTCCAGTTCAGAGAGGGGGAGTGGCCTAGGCCTGAGCCAGCCCAGCAACAGCCAGGATTGGTTTGGAAAAGGGGGGCGGAGTTAGTCAGTTGGAGGGAAAAGAGAGCAGCTTGTTGAGACAGGGTTAGTTCAGTTTTTAGTTTAGTGGAGTTCTGTTCTGAGTGAGGTTAGAGTAGGATTGGGAGTTTTAGGAGTCTCTGTTAGGAATAGGCAGCTTGCCTGTAGTTTGTACAGCAAAGTAGGCTGTGGCAGACTGGGTTACAGCTATTTTAGACAAGAAAATAGCTGGGTTTTGTGTTCGAAATTGTAACAAAGAATAGAACCATTCTCTCAAGTAACCATTACGCTTCTAAGAACCAAGAACACTTTAATTGTAACAGCCAAGCCTCTGAACCTGCATTCACTTTTATTCTGTAACTTGTAGTCAAGAAACTCTTTCTTGTTATTTTTAAAATTTAAGCCTGAGTCAAGTGCCATTTTTGGTTTTGAGTCCTTTTCCTTGTTGAATCAACCCCTCCTGTTTCCCCTCAAAGAAAGCCCTTGATATTACATAGTATTTGGTGGAGTAAAAAAGCCTTTTAATAATTTAAACAGCCTTTTAGCAGTCTGAATAGCTAGAGGGTTCGTGATTCTTCAGTTTATGGTGGCAGCGAAGGTTTTAAAGAAAGAGACATTCCCTCAAACGCTATAAGAGCCAAAGTGGTGTGAATTCCTTATTGAAGGAGGGACAGTGTTGGGATCTGCTTGCCCCCTGTCCAGTGATATTGTTTGGCCCTCAAGAAATTATATCCTTATAATTTGGTGGCAGTGGTGGGTTTCTTTGACCCCCTGCCCAGACGGCCAATCGAGGAGTCATTATAGATAGCCCAAAAAATGATGGGAAGAGGGCCCCCACAGTTTCCCCCATTGTCGTCAATGGGCTGGATCTTCTGGGAACATAAGTGGAACTTATAAAATGGTGTTTTCTCCCTCCCGATTTTGGGAATTTTGTATGTATGTATGTAGTTTGCATGTATGTACAAACTCTACAGACCCACCAAGAAAATCCAACAAATGCTACGTTCAGCAAAGGACAAGAGGGATCCTCTCACTTCTGCAGGAGTCTACCGTATACCATGCAGCTGTGGACAAGTCTCCATAGGGACCACCAAACGCAGCAGCATTGCCCAGACACGAATCAAGGAACATGAAAGGCACTGCAGAGTACTTCAACCAGAGAAGTCAGCCATAGCAGAGCACCCGATGAACCAACCTGGACACAGCATTTTATTTGAGAACACAGAAATGCTAGACCACTCTCACAACCACCATGTTAGACTACACAGAGAAGCCATGGAAATCCACAAGCATGTGGACAATTTCAACAGAAAGGAGGAAACCATGAAAATGAACAAAATCTGGCTACCAGTATTTAAAAAAACTCTAAAATTATAACAGTGAAACAACAGAGTAAACAATCAGGCACAGCAAATGACCTCTCAAAAAAACATTCCCCCAGGCACTTCCAAGCCATTACATGCTAATCAAGGTGCTCAGTTGAAACATTCACAGCCAGCTTCAGCAGACAAAAGCCCTTGGTCCCACCCTGGTCATTCCACAGATATATAAACCCTTTTTCCTACTTCCAAACAGACCTCACTACCTCTGAGGATGCTTGCCATAGATGCAGGCGAAACGTCAGGAGAAAATATGCCTCTAGAACATGGCCATATAGCCTGGAAAAACCTATAACAACCCAGAAATTACTAACTTTGTGCAGAAATATTCATTTGGGCTTGGAAAAACAAGCTGGAGGTGAGACCCGACCACATGTCTCAGTAGATGTCTATGGACCAGAAGTCCCTCATCCTGATTTCCTGCTCATGAAGAAGTGAGAATAAAGCTTTTCTCTTAATTGCCATGTGGAAATACATATCTTCCCTTTTTTTAACCTGATACAAAGTGCATTGGTGAGGAAGTAGCCATGCAAACTTACATAACTCAGTCTGTAAAATATTTAAAAGTAGAATTATGGCTCTCAGACCAGAAGTATTTCTCTACTTCTTTTTTGGCCCATATTATCCCTATAGATGTGCTAAACCTATTGAGAGAGACAACAACAAAGAATCCAATATTCTAGCTCTGTATTCCTTGAACTGCTGTGTCTAATTATATGGGTGCATTTCAATTTTATTTTCTCCTGTCAGATGCCCGCTTGGAGAATGGCACAAATCCCTGCTCTGGGCAGACAGAGCTGCTGCACAACCAAGAGTGGGGAACCATGTGTGATGCCAGCTGGGACACATATGATGATCAGGTTGTATGCAGAGAATTTGGCTGTGGAAATTCCCTCAAAGAAGTCAGAGGAGCTCATCATGGCCAAGGATTTGATCCCATTTGGCTGGAGGGAGTGAACTGTACAGGAAAAGGGGCATTCCTGAGGGAGTGTCCCCAACGATCATTGGGAGGGCACCGCTGCAACCAGAGCCAGGATGCCAGTGTGGAGTGCACAGGTAGGTTTCTAGCCAAGGATGCAGGAGAAGATGGCATGAGAGGAGACAACGGCAGAGGTAGAGTGCCAAGGGGTTTTTGAAGAAAGAAGCTGGTATCATAAGCTTATGTAAAATAAGGTCTACTTCTTATTGTATTGTTGTATTTGGGCACGGCTTCATGTAAGCCACACTGAGTCCCTTGGGGAGATGGTAGCGGGGTACAAATAAAATGTTGTTGTTGTTGTTGTTGTTGTTATTATTATTATTATTATTATTATTATTATTATATTCTTCAGTTGCCTGGAGTTAAGTGCATAGATACAGATCTTGGTTACTATAAATACTCAATATTAGGCATTTGCAATAAAATCGGAAAGCATTGTATGTCGGATCAGTTTCGTATGACCTGTACTTACGATGCGATTTCTGATGCGCACGCACAGTCCACTCCAAAAATTAAAAAATCGAAGCTTAAGAAGCCTTTGTTTCTTACGCTTCGATTTCTTCGTAAGGCCCCGTGACACAGTTAAAATTCACAGGTAAACCAAGCTCTGCTGAGAGGTAAAGCCAAACACATTGGCATGCCTCTCCACCTATTTGAAATGGAACAAAATGAAATGTAAGGAGAGGAAGTTATTCCTTTGCTACCCTCATTTTGTAAAATTTAGTCCGATTCTAAGCCCTAACAATAGAGAAGGACAATGTTCCCCTCACTTATCGTGGGTGTTCCCTTCCAGGACCACCTGCAATAAGTGAAAATCTGCGAAGTAGGGATGCTATAGTAATTGTAATATTTATACATTATTTTAGCATATGTATAAGAAGCACGCATGCCCTCGCACTTCCTTACCCGCCTCCGGAGCCACATGGGCAGCAGCAGGCCACAGAGGCAGGCCTTCCCCGCCACACCTCAGGCTGCCACTCTGCTGGGATAGGCTTGGATGGTGTTGGGACAGCATTGGGGCCTCTGGCGGGGCTGCATCCCTGCCCTATTTATTTATCGTGTCATCAGCAACCATTGTATTACAATTCTAACAGAGCAAAACAAACACACAGATTAAAAAGAAAAAGGAAAAAAACCACATATTTTGCAAATTTGGTATTTGGTTAAATATCCTTTGACCAGTATCTGGCCACTTGGAGTGCCTCTGGTGTTGCCGCAAGAAGGTCCTCCATTGTGCATGTGGCAGGGCTCAGGGTGCATTGCAGCAGGTGGTCAGTGGTTTGTTCTTCTCCGCACTCGCATACCGAGGATTCCACCCTGTAGCCCCATTTCTTAAGATTGGCTCTGCATCTCGTGGTGCCAGAGCGCAATCTGTTCAGCGCCTTCCAAGTCGCCCAGTCTTCTGAGTGCCCAGGGGGGAGTCTCTCATCTGGTATCACCCATGAATTGAGGTTCTGGGTTTGGGCCTGCCACTTTTGGACTCTCGCTTGCTGGGGTGTTCCAGCGAGTGTCTCTGTAGATCTAAGAAAACTATGTCTTGATTTAAGTCGTTGACGTGCTGGCTGATACCCAAACAGGGGATTAGCTGGAGATGTCTCTGCCTTGGTCCTTTCACTATTGGCTGCTACTTCCCGGGATGTCAGGTGGTGCAATACCGGCTAAGCAGTGTAATTTCTCCAGTGGTGTGGGGCGCAGACACCCTGTGATAATGCGGCATGTCTCATTAAGAGCCACCTCTACTGTTTTAGTGTGGTGAGATGTGTTCCACACTGGGCATGCATACTCAGCAGCAGAGTAGCATAGCGCAAGGGCAGATGTCTTCACTGTGTCTGGTTGTGATCCCCAGGTTGTGCCAGTCAGCTTTCGTATGATGTTGTTTCTAGCGCTCACTTTTTGTTTGATGTTCAGGCAGTGCTTCTTGTAGGTCAGAGCACGGTCCAAAGTGACTCCCAGGTATTTGGGTGTGTTGCAATGCTCCAGTGGGATTCCTTCCCAGGTAATCCTCAGAGCTCGGGATGCTTGTCTGTTCTTAAGGTGAAAGGCACATGTCTGTGTTTTAGATGGATTAGGGATCAGTTGGTTTTCCCTGTAATAGGCAGTAAGAGCACCTAGAGCTTCGGAGAGCTTCTGTTCTACCATCTCAAAGCTCCCTGCTTGAGCAGTAATGGCACGATCATCAGCATAGATGAAACTCTCTGTTCCTTCTGGCAGTGGCTAGTCACTGCCCTGAACAAGGAGGATAAAGCACGTCCACTTGCAGCCCGAGCCACCAACGGAATGAGCAAAAAAAAAGCGACAGGATGCGAGGGGCCGTACACGACCCTCCCTTTCTGAGGCCTGTTGTAATGTAAACATTTTATATTAATATTTATTTTAAAAATCCATGAAACAGTGAGTCTACGTAAAGTGAACCGCGAAGTAGCGAGGGAACATTGTATTACTGGAAGGTAGGAGGAATCGTGTTGCAGACCTTTGCACTGCCAGCTTGCCACTCCTTATGAATGTTCCCATAATTAGAAAAGTATCAAGAGAAACCATGGAACTGGACTGCAGATCAATGAAAGCACCTTTCATCCTTCCAAAACCGACAGGAACCAGATTGGTGAATGGCTCAAACCGTTGCTTTGGGAAAGAAGAAACGTTCCTTCATCAGGAGTGGTGGTTATGGTGTCTTGATGCATGGGACTTGCGTGATGCCCAAGTCATGTGCGGAGAACTAGACTGTGGAAAAGCAGTGTCCGTCCCAGCAGGATCTTTCTTTGGAAAAGGAAAAGGTTACATCTTGACAAATGAACCTAAATGTTTGACAACAGAAGCTGCCTTTCACAAATGTATGTTCGATTCAAGCAGTCATTGCAGAATATTTGAAATGGCTGGTGTTGTGTGCTCAGGTAATTGATGAATATTAAAGTGATACTGATTCTTCAGATTTTTACAGTTCACAACAGAAGAGTCTAAAATTAACCAATCTTTATAACTGGATATTCAATGAAGAAATGGCGATGAAATTTTCTAGTGCAAGGAAAGATTATTTATTATTATTATTATTATTATTATTATTATTATTATTATATTTATATCCCACTTACGTCTTAGTCATGATTATTTGGTTAATTTCTATTTGGTATTAAGTTTATAGTAATGGGTGTTGATGCTTTGGGAAATGGAAGGAAAAAGGAAGAGGGGCTGCTCAAGGGCAAGATGGATGGATGGTATCCTTGAAGTGACTGGTTTGACCTTGAAGGAGCTGGGAGTGGCCACGGATGACAAGGAGCTCTGGTGTGGGCTGGTCCATGAGGTCACAAAGAGTCAAAAGCGACTGAACAAATAAACAACAACACACTGCCATATAATCCAGTTCAAAGCAGATAATCTGAATTTTATATGGTAGTGTAGATGGGCCTTCCCCTCTGGGACCAACCAGATATTCTTTTGGCCTTGTAAACAACATCCATAATAATAAGAAGGTTTCAGAAGGACAGTTCCTTGTACATTGAGTTTCACAATACTACCACTGAATACAATTGAAGAAGTCAGACAGCCTGGCAACAGGCATGTAGCTGGGGGGGGGGGGGGGGCAGTCTTGAGGGGCTTCAGCCCCCTCCGAAATTCTCATGGTGGTTCGTGAAAAGGCCTTACTGGTGCATTATTTAAACTGTTATGTTTATTCATATCATGATCTGATCACCATACTCAATATATCCCATATGCATGGGGGTATTGGGGTAACAATACAAAAGGTTTGCTAGGGTAGACCCTCTTTCAGTCAGACTCAGCCCCCCCCCCCACCCCGAATCGAAATCCTGGCTACGGGCCTGCCTGGCAACATACGCAGATGCTACCCTTCAAGTGACTGCCACCCCCCCCCTTGGCTTTTGTACCACCGATATATAACCTCAAGTAAACAAGAACATTTTTTTTGTCATGGAAAGTACTCTCTTTCCAGCCCCCTCCCTTGACCTTTTGATGGAAAGTACCTTCTTGTACCTGCAGACTTTGAAGCTTAACCACAACCCGACTTCCTATGTAAACTTGAACTTTGTATGACCACTACATGATGCCTCTTGTTTTTAAAACATTTTCTTCCATGTTGCTCCTTTTCTACAGAGATAGGGTATATTTCTCTTTTGTTTGTTAATTTTATTCAAAGACCCTTTCACAATATACAATACAGTTTCTCCAACCTAAGGAGTTCTTTGGCACTAATTAGTGGACTGCTGAAGAATGACACATCCATCCTCCTTATGCCAGCAAGTAAAGGTGCAAAGAGGAGTTGTGACAAGAACCCAACAGGGTCTCTCTTTCTACTTCTATTCCAAAGATTCTTTCTAGTACAGAGGACCCAGTAATCATCATACTAAACTCTTCTAGTTTACCAGTTGGATCTAAAGTCAGTACAATGGCAAGCATTCCTGTTAGTTACTCCCAACTGAATTATATTTAGATTTAGTGCATATAGTCTAACCAAGACTAACAACAAAATTGTTGCCCATGACTTTGTAATCACCACTAATCTTTTACTCTGTTTTTAAAAAATAAGAAATCCGTTTAATGAACGGCGCAAGTCCCTGCTCAGGGAGGGTTGAAGTCTTACACAATGATGCATGGGGAACCATTTGTGATGCTAGCTGGGATTTACAAGATGCCCAAGTCGTGTGCAGCCAGCTGGGTTGTGGAAATGCCTCCAAAGCATTGGGTGGAGCACACTATGGCCAAGGATCGGGGCCCATCTGGCTGGAGAACATCAACTGTACAGGAGAAGAAGCATCCCTGAAGGAGTGCCAGAAGGGAGGCTGGGGAGAGCACAGTTGCAACCACAGCCAGGATGCCAGCGTAGAGTGTTCAGGTACGTGTCTTTCACAGGTATTGCTTATTGAAGTTTGCATGGGGCCCATGTTTCCTCAAAATGGCCATGGTTAAGAAGAGTCTTTATCTTCCAGTACCATGTGTCCAAATTATAGCTCAGCAACCTGACATAGCATACTTTGTCCACTGACAGATTGGATCTGAACAATGATCCGGTGGGGACATTATTGTGGATGGGGATGATCGGGTGTTTGGACAACATGTCCAGTCCAGCGGAGCTGATGGCATAAGAGTATCACTTCAATGCTAGTGGCCTTTGTGTCTTCCAGCATGCTGACATTTGTCCGCCTGTCTTCCCAAGAGATTTGCAGGATTTTTTTGGAGGCAGCGGTGATGGAATTGTTCCAGTAGTTGAAATTGGAGTGAGAGGTTTACAAATGAATATGTGGTCTTTTGGTTATGAATGGAGGTTCAGAGCATCCCACAGTAGAAGTCAGTACCAAGCAGTGTTTATCACTGGGAGATAAGAGGAGTTGTGTTGCAAGTTTTGCACTGCTTCATCATTGATTTCACAAGCCAGCTTGCCACTCATAATAAATGGTCCTTAAACTAGGAAATTATACAGGAGAAACCATGGAACTGGACTGCAGACTAATGAAAGCACCTTTCATTCTCTCCAACCCAACAGGAACCAGACTGGTGAATGGCACAAACCATTGCTCTGGGAGAGTTGAAGTGTTCCTCGATGGGGAGTGGGGGTCGGTGTGTGATGATCGGTGGGGCCTGAGAGATGCTCATGTCGTGTGCAGAGAACTTGGCTGTGGAGGAGCTCTCTCAGCCCCAGGAGAAGCCCACTTTGGAAAAGGAAACGGTGCCATCTGGATAGATGAAGCCCATTGTTTGGGGACAGAAGTTGCCCTTCAGAAGTGCCCATTTGAAAAAGGACATGATTGTAGTCATAAAGAAGATGCTGGTGTTGTGTGCTCAGGTAACTGATAAAAAATTAAGAAATATTACTTATTCTCTTTGGACTTTTACAGTTCACAGCAGAATTGTTTGAAATTAACCAATCTTTAAATCTGGATATTCAAAGAAGAAATTCCAGTACAAATCTCTAGTGCTAGGAAAGACTAGGTATGATGCTTGCTTGATGAACACTAGGGCTGTGCAAAATTTTCCTTAGTTGTCGTAAGTCGGATCAAATTCGTAAAATCTGTACTTATGACACGATATCCAACACTTGGACATGACCTGCGCCAAAAACTTAAGAGTTGAAACTTACCCAATATTTTTAGTTTCAATTTTTTTAACCGCAGAAGCCTCCCAAAGTCAATTTTCTTTTCTTTGTAAGCAAGCAAAGCTGAAGCAGGCTTTTCTTTCCCCTGAGCAATTGCTCAAAGGCTCAGCCAAAATGCTCCGTTTCAGTTCAATTGCGGACGCAGATGAGTCAGGAAAAACAGCCAACTGGGTTCAGCAAGAATATCAAAGTTTATTTTGTATAGCAGCTGCTAGTTGAGTTTCCCGACGCAACAAGGCGTCTCTGGGGAAAGTCACACCAGCACAAAGGATTTGAGTTATTTTATACACACAAAGGGGTTCGGCCTTAAGGGCCGCCCCAAAGATTAAATCATTGGTTAAGAAAGCTGTCAATATTATATTTATGTTAAGCAATTAGCTCATACACTTTAAGTTTCGTTTCTCAATAAGCAAGCCCCTTTTTGGAAACATCTCAAAATGCTGATATGCTAATACAGCTGGGGACAGCTGCTGATCTTGGCAAGCTTAATTTAGCCTTGGCTAGTTCCTCTCTGCAAAGTCAGCATGTCTCTTGACCGAAACTTTACCCCTTTTCAAAAAACTCATCTCCCATATATGGTCAAGTCCATCCGTTCTCTTTTCTCTATGAAAACCTTGGCATTTTGTAAAACTATAGCTGTACCTTTCTGCCTACCTATAGCTGTACCTTTCTGCCTTATTCCCACATTTTCTTTTTTTGCGAAGCGGTTTACAAAAGCGAGAGCAAATCAGCAAGGGTTATATACTATGGATCTCTCCAATTATGCCCTTTGATGAGAGCTATCTTCTCTACTGAAGCTGCCTGATGCATATATCTCTGGCAAACTTGAAGCAAAATTGGAAAACAGCACATTAGCAACAGAAAGACAAAACCGCATAGCATAATCACAAGTATTATTTCTCTAAGCCATGATACTGAAGGAAGCAGAGACGTCAACCATGAGAAAGGTTGCCATCCATCTTCCTTTACATTATGATTTATTAACTCTTGCAATTTTTCCAAATCATCCTCAATTGTTTGGTTCAGATTATGAAATTTGACCACGCACTGGCCCTTTATTACAGAACAGAATCCTCCTTTTGTTGCCAACAAATAATCTAGGGCTAGCTTGTGTTGCATTGCCATTTGGCTTAGTTCTTCAATTTCTGATTGTAATTGCCTAACTATTTTTCCTGTGGCATTTATGCTTTTCTCTAATCTACATGTGAGTCCCATTATACTTTTCCTGTTTTCTTGGGCCATTATTCCAGGATAGGACCCGAGGGTTAGGAGCCCTGTTATTAATCCTCCTCCTACCCTTGAGCCTTCAGTTTCGGACAGTTGTGAGTCTATAATCACTTCGTCTGAGCACTCAGGTCCTAGGGGTGCTATGGCTTTCAAAGATCTCTGAAGCCTCCTAGGGTGTTTAAGGACTCGTACAGGGAATGTCAGGTATCCTACCCCAACACACTGGTTTCCTCCTGGATGAAAATTGGTTGCCCATTTATCAAAGAAAAACCACATATTGGGATCTCTAATATGCCATCCTGAACAAATACTGCCTCCATTTCTCAGGGACGTGTAATTTGACTCAAACAGTGGGTACTCAGGGTATAGTTCTTTCCAATCCGTGTCTGCCAAATTTTGTTTGTTAACATATGTAGAGTTATAGGTTCCATACAAATAAAACTTGTCCTGACAGTGAGTGTAATTTGTCAACCTTGTTAGGAAGGCTTTTCTGTGTTCCCAGCCTTTCCATTTTTGATTCCATGTACCCTTGTTTGCACAACAAAAACACATTCCCCTCGTGGTGGCAGTATATCTTATTCGTCTGAATTTAATGTGTTTTAATCCATCGGGGACCTGGGAAAATATGGTGGGATTTTGAATAGTTCCTTGTAACCCCCCGAGCACCACCTGGGGGTCGGCTATTAGTGTAGGGAGGAAAGAGAAGTCACCTACTTTCTCTGGATGTTCATATAGGAGTGCCACATCTTTTCCATGCTGATCAAACATGAATCTGGCATGTTCTTTTAGCCAATTTCCCTGTATCATAGTGATCATGTTTATAAGCATCATGTACCCGAAAAACTCCAACTGGTTTTCTAGGGCACCCTTCCCTCCTCCCCATTATAATTTCTATCCACCACTTCCAAGATAGGGCTTTCGTTGGGCCACGCTGCGTCATACTTGACCTGCGACGATCTGTTGTTCCCGAAGAGGTCAACTTCATGGCCTTGTTGACCCCGCAGGGAGTTGCCGGATGATCCTGAGTCTCAGGTCACTCTGATCTGCCTTTTTTATCTCCCACACGGGGGGTGCCAGCTTGGCACGGGTATAATGTATCCAAGGCTTAACTTCCTTCACTTTAATGGCAGTAGGGGTTGATATCAGCACAGTATAGGGCCCTCTCCACCTAGTGGGTCCTAGTGGGTCAATTGGGGTCCTAGTGGGTCAATCTTCCACTCCTTCACAAGTACCTCGTCACCTGGCGAAAAACAATGCAAAGGTGTGGTAGGATAGGGTGGATTTAACTCTGAAGTATATTGTGTGTTGGAGTGCATATGTCAGACTATGTGCCACGCCATATCCTTAGGGACATAAACGCGGTTATCTGGCATCACAATGACCTCTCCCTTCCATTTTCCTTTTTCCCCCAAAGCCCAATTCTCCTCCTCTTTTGTATATGTAAATTTTTCTAATGGGGGATCTCCTATTACTGTCACAGCCATCATGTGCTGTTTATTGTGGGGGTGCTTAGCTGCCTCTCTTGCGGCCAAATCAGCTAGCCTATTACCTTGAGTCACTGGGTCTTCTCCCCTTGCGGCCCAAATACAGCCTAGCCTATCTCTAAATTTACTGCTCACGTCACTAGCGCTCTCCCTCCCAGATACTTTGGATGACCTTACTTGCCCTCGAAGCGTAAACATTAATTACAGCCCACTTATGTGCAGAGGTCACACAGACCCTGAACTCCAGGTCTAGGGAACAACAATCTCAGAATGAACGCCATTTTTCGTACCAGCACCCTTGCCAGCCCCCCCACCGACGGAAGCGAGCCAGACCCTTGGCGTTCACACAAGCTCCCAGGGGGCAATTGGAGGTTAGTACAACCCGATTTCAGTCTAAAGGCGCTACTTGATCCCCCTACGGTCCGTGTTGAGACTATTGACCACGTATCCCTGGCAAAACCTTTTCCTCAGTTCCGCTTCTGGTTTGCATGGGCTATCCAAAATGCAGACAGGTCATCTTTTGATTTGACGCGGAAGGTCCCGGATTGCCCCCGGCCGGAGCGATCTGCTTCCAGAATCTCTCCCCCCCCCTGTACCACCGCATATCCTGCACGCCTCTCACCGTTTTCCATGAAGCTACTGCCATCTGTGAACAGGGTCATGTCTGCCTTGGACATTGGTACGTCCTTTAAGTCAGGTCGGCTGGAATATACCTGTTCCATCACCTGAATGCACTGGTGGACTGTTTCCTCTCCTGGGGCAGGCAACAAGGTGGCCGGATTTAAGGTGGCACAAGTTTCTAGGGTCACCATTGGGTTATCACACAACACCCCCTCATATTTTGTCAGTCTCTCATTTGTGAGCCAGCGTGGTCCCTTGGTGTCTAACAGCGCCTTCACATGGTGTGGTACCTTAACGGCCAGTGGCTGTCCTAAGGTCAATTTACTTGCTTCTTTTATCAAATCTACTGCTGCTGCCACTGCACGAAGACAGGGCGGCATTCCCTGTGCTACCGTGTCTAACTGTTTTGACAGATAAGCCACTGGTCTCTTGCCTTGATCAAACGGCTGGCGCGATTGAAGTACCCTACAGCCAATCCTTCAGTCTCCAGACCACACGCAAAAAGTCGCATAAACCGGTTTCTCCAAGTAGGCGAGCACCACAGAAGTGCGGCGTTGGGGGGGGCGGGGGACGTGCGGCGGGTAAACATAGGGGGAAAAAACCCCCGCCTCTTTCTACAAGGATTCGTCAGCGCCATCCAAATAGCATACAACCGGCAACTCTTTTGGTCCATTCAAAAGGCGTCTTCTCTATTTCCGCGGGTAGTCGGTACAGAGTTAGCCACAGATAGCAATACCCAAGGAATTCACAATTGTCGACAGCATACTGTTGCGTCCCAAAAACCTCCAACTCTACCGTCTCCTACGTGCCGACGTGCTTGTAGGAATTGCAAATTACCTTCGGTATCCTTCTGCTCTCCCAAAGACTCATGTCCTTCAGTTCATTTCAAATCCCAGGCTACTCCTACCTGTCTTTTGACACAGCTGGGCCTTTTTCTTTGATACCTTGTAGCCTTTTTCTTCCAATGTTTCTAACATCTGCAAGGTGTAATGCCTGCATCCCTCTTGCGTCCTGCAAGCTATCAGTAAATCATCTACATATTGGAGCCAGATTCCTTCAGATTCAGGGATCTTGAACTCCTCTAAGTCTTTGGCGAGCGCCTGGCCGAAAATGGTCGGGCTATTTTGCCAGCACTGAGGAAGGCGTTTCCACATAAACTGAGTCTTTTGGCCCACTTGCTGGGTGTCCCATTGGAAGGCAAAGATGGGTTGGGAAACTGGAGCTAACCTGATGCAAAAGAAAGCATCTTTCAAGTCCAAAACTGTAAACCATGCCGTCCATGAAGGGATTAGGCTCATCATAATGTAGGGATTTGGTACTACTGGGGTGAGGAGCACCGTAGCTTGGTTGACTGCCCTAAGGTCCTGCACCGGGCGGTACTCATTCTTAGTTCCTGGCTTCTTTATCGGTAACAGAGGTGTGTTCCATGGTGAACTACAGGGCACAATAATTCCGTGTTCTAGCAACCTGTCAATGTGTACTTGTATCCCTGCAGAGGCTTCCCGACTCACTGGGTACTGTGGTCTTTTGACTGGGACTGCTCCTTTCTTCACCTCTACTACCACTGGGGGCACATATTTAGCCAGTCCTGGAGGATTGTCTTCTGCCCACACCAAAGGAGTCCGCTCCCAGGGCCATTCAGCTTCTGGCCGCGGGGCAGACCTCTCCTGTTGTACTAAGTACATCCTCCATTCCTCTTCCATGGTTATTGTCAATTCCATTTGGCCATTGTCTAAAAATTGGATTTGTGCTCTTAATTTTGACAAAATGTCTCTTCCTAATAATGACACTGGGCAATCAGGGTGATATAGTAACTTATGACTCACATTATGGCCTGCTAGATTACATGTCCGTTCCTGTAGAAAAGGGCATTTCTGAATTTTTCCTGACAGCCCCACCACTTTGGTGACTTCTGCGCTGGTAGGACCAATAAGTTTGTTCACCACTGATCGTTCTGCCCCAGTGTCCACTAAAAAGTCAACTTGCTGGTCCCCTACTTCTATAGTGACCATCGGCTCCCCGGGGTCCAGCAAAACGAGAGCCTGGTCGGTTCATTCCTCTTCCTCCGCATCCTCCCATTCTTCTTCTGCTATTGCAGCCACTACTGCTTCCCTCTTCTGGTGCGGGGTATAGCCTCCTCGGCCTCTTCCACATCCTCTACCTCTTCCTCTGCCTCGTCCTTCGCCTCCTTCTTCTCCAGACACCTTCTCTGTACATTCCTCATATGACGGAGGCGGTGGTAATGTCCGTTCCTGGTCCACGGGCCCTTGGGCGCCTTGAGCCACTGCTAGCGGGGGTGCATTGGGAGTTGCATATCGCTGCCCCCGGTAACTACATTCCTCCACCGGCTCTTCTTCCTGGGCAAGGACTTTAACCTTGACTTTCCTTCCTTTCTTCCTTATCATCATACACTGACCTTCTTTACACTTCTGGACCCAATCAGGATTTTGGGTCACCACGTTGTCCCAGGCATCAATATAAATATATTGATCCGGATGATAGTTAGCACAAAATTTTTCTACCTGCCTAATCTTCTTTAGGTCCCACGACCCTTCTGCAGGCCACCCAAAAGGAAAGGTGGGCCATTCTCCTGTGCACAGATTCCTTAATCTGTGGTCCTTAAGATCTCCTGGATCTTCCTGACTCGATGCAGCTACAAACTTATCAAAGTTGTCTAGCATACACTGAAGCGGAGTCACTGCCTTTGAGTTCCTCCCACCCATGGCCTCTAGTGGGGAGCAAACCTTGGCCTTCACACCCGGACACTCAACGGCGTGTTTCAGGAACCGCAAGGTTTGCCCCGTCCTCCCACTACCCCACGGGATACTTAGTGGTCCCCCTTCCCCCCAGCGCTGGTGTGTGTTACCTAGTGTCTTTACTTGACCACTTATACTTGCCGGGTCTCTGCAGACGTCGGAACAACCTTCGCCCCCGGACTTTTCCTCCTCCTGGATCCTTTCTACCACTCCTCCACTCCCAGTTGATTTCTTGAGAACCCGAAGAGTTGCGATTTTCCTTGATCAAGCGGCACTGACAGAAGAGGGGAGTGTCGCAGCCGGTTATCAGTCGGGGGCCCCCTTTGTCTCGGCTCACGGCAATCGCCTCTCGCGCCCCTGAGCTGATCAAAAAAATCGTCTTGCCAACAAGATCTGTCTCCCCGGACTCTCGGCCTGTCTGAATTAATCTCGGTGGAACCTCCAAAAATGAAGCAGGCTTTTCTTTCCCCTGAGCAATTGCTCAAAGGCTCAGCCAAAATGCTCCGTTTCAGTTCAATTGCGGACGCAGATGAGTCAGGAAAAACAGCCAACTGGGTTCAGCAAGAATATCAGTTTATTTTGTATAGCAGCTGCCAGTTGAGTTCCCGACGCAACAAGGCGTCTCTGGGGGAAGTCACACCAGCACAAAAGGTAGTGTTGTTTTTATACATGCAAAGGGGTTCGGCTTTAAGAGCCGCCCCAAAGATTAAATCATTGGTTAAGAAAGCTGTCAATATTATATTTATGTTAAGCAATTAGCTCATACACTTTAAGTTTCGTTCTCAATAAGCAAGCCCCCTTTTGGAAACATCTCAAGATGCTGATATGCTAATATAGCTGGGGACAGCTGCTGATCTTGGCAAGCTTAATTTAGCCTTGGCTAGTTCCTCTCTGCAAAGTCAGCATGTCTCTTGAAAAACTCATCTTTGGCACCAAAGCCTGTCTTTGTCTCCCATATATGGTCAAGTCCATCCGTTCTCCTTTCTCTATGAAAACCTTGGCATTTTGTAAAACTATAGCTGTACCTTTCTGCCTACCTATAGCTGTACCTTTCTGCCTTAAAGCAAAGCCAAAAAGGCTGCCATTGCTCTTTAAATTAATGGTCTCTCGCCATGAGGAGAGGGAAGCAGCAAGGAGAAAACAGAGTTCGCTGGGAAGGAGACTGAGAAAGCAAAGAATTCTGGGAAATGTAGTCTCTTCTAACTCTATGATTCTATGATTATTGTAATACATCTTTATAACTAAGGGAAAGGGGTTTATTGCTACTTGAATTATAGTATTTCTCCTACACCTTTGCCTATGAAATAAAGGCCCAAACCTTAGCATTATTGCTAAGGATTGGGACGGTTTCCCACACTATTTATCACCAAGACTAAAACATGTTTAGGAATCATTACATAAAACTAAAGCTTTAGAACAAATGATCATTCAATAACAAAGGCAATAACATTTTTTTCCTGTGAGAGAGTATATGATTTAGCTAATGACTAGTGTTTTGTTTATGTCTCTGTTCAGTTGACTGACATCTGTTGATTCCTTTGGCTGGATCTGCACTATCATTAATCTAGATCAGGTGTCCTCAAACTAAGGTCCAGAGGCCGAATGCAGCCCTCCAAGGTCATTTACCCGGCCCTCGCTCAGGGTCAACCTAAGTCTGAAATGACTTGAAAGCACACAACAACAACAACAACAACAACAATCCTATCTCATCAGCCAAAAGCAGGCCCACACTTCCCATTGAAATACTAATAAGATTATATTTGTTAAAATTGTTCTTAATTTTAATAATTGTATTGTTTTTAAGTGTTTTTTGCACTACAAATAAGATAAGTGCAGTGTGCATAGGAATTCATTCATCTTTTTCCAAATTATAATACGGTCCTCCAACAGTTTGAGGGACTGTGACCTGGTCCTCTGTTTAAAAAGTTTGAGGACCCCTGATCTAGATGATCAAAGCAGATAAATTACCTTAAACTGGATTATATGAGTCTACACTGCCATATAATTCAGTTCAAAGTAGATAATCTGAATTTTATATGATAGTGTAGATGGGCCTTCCCCACTGGGACCAACCAGACATTCTTTTGGCCTTGTGAACAACATCCACAAAATTATGACGGTTTCAGAAGGACTGTTCCTTGTACATTAGATTACATAATGCTACCACTGAATACAATATACAAAATAGTTTGTCCAACCTTTTGGCACTAATTAGTGGACTACTGAAGAATGACACATTCATCCTTCTTGAAACGGCAAACTGTTTTAATGTATCTATAATTGTTTTTAATGTAGGTTAATTGTATTTTCTGCTTGCTTTATTGTTTGGCACCGAATGGTACCTGTTGGTAGCCGTCCTGAGTCCCTCTTCAGAGGCAAGAAGGACGGAACAGAAATGCTTCTAATAAATAAATAAATGGTGCCAGCAAGCAAATGTGCAAATAGGAGTTGTGACAAGACCCCAACAGGGTCTCTTTTTCTGCTTATTGTGCTGTGGCTAGCTGGCTAGAGGCACAATCCTTCAGTGTCTGCTCTCTAGTACTGTAGATCTTTAACTGGTGTGGCTGACTGCTTTTGAAAGGGGACTTTACTGGGTCAGATTAAGACATGGACTTTAGTTGTATTTACCATGCAGAATCTTGACCACATTTGTCTTTTCTTGTGTATTTGTGTTATTAATGGTTAATAATTTATTCTGCAATTTAAAATTCAGAACCTGCATTTTAAACTTATTGGTTGCTATATCTTTAGGACTTACATGTGCATTTCACTTTCAATTGATATCTATTAGGCACTTACCGTTGGAAGCGTAGGTCTTTTCCTACCTGGAATAGATGTGTTGACAGTTTTGGATCATACTTACAGTTTGGTCTTTTCAATTGCCAGTTTTGTGATCACACTCAATGGTAATAAAATTTGAATTCAACAAATTTAATCCAATATAGGATTTATTTATTTATTTATCATGTCAGGAGCAAACCAAACAGTTGTGTTACATTTTAAACAAATTTTTAACAAACAGACAAAACAGAGTTTGCAAGCTTGGTTGTTGATTAAATGTCCTTTGACCGGTATCTGTCCCCTTGGAGTGCCTCTGGTGTTGCCACAAGAAGGTCCTCCATGGTGCATGTGGCAGGGCTCAGGGTGCATTGCAGCAGGTGGTCAGTGGTTTGCTCTTCTCCACACTCGCATGTCGTGGATTCCACTTTGTAGCCCCATTTCTTAAGATTGGCTCTGCATCTCGTGGTGCCAGAGCGCAGTCTGTTCAGCGCCTTCCAAGTTGCCCAGTTTTCTGTGTGCCTAGGAGGGAGTCTCTCATTTGGTATCAGCCATTGATTGAGGTTCTGGGTTTGAGCCTGCCACTTTTGGACTCTCGCTTGCTGAGGTGTTCCAGCGAGTGTCTCTGTAGATCTTAGAAAACTATTTCTTGATTTAAGTCGTTGATGTGCTGGCTGATATCCAAACAAGGGATGAGCTGGAGATGTCTCTGCCTTGGTCCTTTCACTATTGGTTACTACTTCCCGGTGGATGTCAGGCGGTGCAATACAGGCTAAACAGTGTAATATAGGATTATGATCTGAAATTATGCACATGTCTAGTAACCAAGTTGTCACAAAGAGATTCATTCCACCCAAACTCCTTTCATGCCCGAGTTCTTGCTATAGCTTGTGCCATGAAATAACTGCTTTTGATCATGCCCAAATCAAAGGAAATGCCCATAATATGCTTAGGACTAAAGCTACATTGCAGACATCAATTCCATTTATCTTTTCTAGTGCAGAGGTCCCAGTAATCATCATACTAAACTCTTCTAGTTTACCAGTTGGATCCAAAGTCATTACAATGGCAAGCATTCCTGTTAGTTACTCCCAACTGAAGTATATCAAGATTTAGTGTATATAGTCTAGCCAAGGCTAACAACGGAATTGTTGCCCTTGACTTTGTAATCACCATTTCACTCTATTTTTATAGAAGATCTCCGTTTAGTGAACGGCGTAAGTCCCTGCTCAGGGAGGGTTGAAGTCTTACATAATGATGCATGGGGGACCATTTGTGATGCCAGCTGGGATTTACAAGATGCTCAAGTGATCTGTAGGGAGCTGGGTTGTGGAAATGCCTCCAAAGCATTGGGTGGAGCACACTATGGCCAAGGATCGGGCCCCATCTGGCTGGAGAACATCAACTGTACAGGAGAAGAAGCATCCCTGAAGGAGTGCCGGAACGGAGGCTGGGGAGAGCACAGTTGCAGCCACAGCCAGGATGCCAGCGTGGAGTGTTCAGGTACGTGCCCTTCACAGGCAGGCATGTAGCCGGGGGGGGGGGGGGCTTGAGGGGCTTCAGCCCCCCCCCCCGAAATTCTCATGGTGGTTCGCGAAAAGGCCTTACTGGTGCATTGTTTAAACTGTTATGTTTATTCATATCATGATCTGATCACCATACTCAATATATCCCATATGCATGGGGGTATTGGGGTAATGATACAAAAGGTTTGCTAGGCTAGACCCTCTTTCACTCAGACTCAGCCCCCCCCCCCCGAAACTCAGGCCCCCCCCGAAACCCCCCCTGAAAAAAATTCAGCCCCCCCCCCCCCGAAATGAAATCCTGGCTACGGGCCTGTTCACAGGTATTACTTACTGAAGATTGCATGCAGTTCATTTCTCCTCAAAGCGATCATGGTTAAGGGGAGTCTTTATCTTCCATTACCACGTGTCCAAATTATGGCTCAGCAACCAGACAAGGCAAACTTTGTCCATTGGCCGTTTGGCACTGAACAATGCCCAAATTGTGTGCAGAGACCTTAACTGCAGATAAGTTTTTGTAGTCTCAGAAGGAACTCACTTGGAGGTGGAAATGGTTCCATTTTGTTATTTGATAATAGATGTCAACAAATAGGAATATTATTTAGTCTCTGTCACTGGAAAACTCAGGAAACATCAGTTGCACTCATGAAAAAGATGCTGGCGTTATTTGTGTGGGTAAGTGCTAAACAGTTTTCCTAGAAACTGTTATATCGATGAAATAGATAAATGGATGGATAAATGGATAGATTTTGATGAGCTCTAGGAATAATGTATGTTACTGTGAACATGCCTATGCACACGCCTGTAAGCCACCTGTTGACGTCCGGTGCCTGGATGAATGTTCATAGGCAAGGAATATTCAGAGGTGGTGGTGCCAGATCTTCCCTCTGAAGTACAGTCTACAGATATTCACTACATGTCTCCTGTCTGAGTATTAAATGTGGCTGCATTGCTTAGCTTCCCAGATGGGATCTGGTGCCTTTTGACAATTGATGCCTATGTGGCAAGACATGGGAGAAACAAAGTAAGGTAGGCACACCTGACCTTCTTTCTTAGGAAATCCCTTTCTAGATTCATGTGTAAAATTATACACCACACTCATTGAATCAATCAGTGCTTGGTGGAGGTTGGAGCAAGGCATTGCTTGATGGAGTGTAGGTTAGAAAAAAAGACTGTAGAGGCCCCTACCCCAAATATGGTGGAAATGAAATGGCAGGGAAAAGGTTTGAGGAAAAGAGACAAAGAGAGATCCTGAGAACTGAAAAGCACGGCTTTATTCTCGGTTGGTGCCAACTGGATATGGACCCTCCTGGTAAGCCAGGAAAGAAGGGTATAGAACAAAGAAAAGTCTTGGTTTATATACCCTTTAAAATAATATGCATGCATAATAAAGACATCACAATGTGCGTCACAAAATTCTACTTTTACATTGACTTCAATCGCATATTTTCATTTCAACACCTGTCAATCTTCATTAGAATACCTATCTGAAGAGTTGCTATTAATGAGGACCATTGCCAGAATGTTTACTGGGCCCTGTTAGCAAGAGTCTCCATCCTAAGATAAGGTCTTCCTGAAACCTCTTGATGGCCACCTCATTAATCTTACGATAATGTGCCTGGTACGAAAATGGAACCTCTTGAAATATGCCAGAGGCCTTTTAGACATTCCTTTCCTAGATGCTGGCCTCTCTAATTTTGCAGCTTTTAAGAAGTCAAGTGAAGTGAAGGACATGCTTACATACATTTCTCTTATATATATTTTCTAACTCCTTTTTCTAATATGGTTACATCAAATATATATATTCCAATATGTGTATTATGTATTTTCATCATGCCTTCATCAGAAATGCCTTCCACATCCTCTAAAGCAGGTATGGGCATACCCAGGCCAGATGCGGCCCCTTGGGCCCTCCTCTCTCTCATCATCTTATCCTTCCTTCCTTTTCTCTTTCCTTCTTCCTCCCTCCCTCCCTCCTTCCTTCTCTCCCTCTTTCTCCTTTCTTGCTTCCTTCTTTCCATCCCTTCCTTCCTCCTTCCCTTCCTCCCTCTCTTCCTTCCCTTTCTCTCTTTCTTCTGATAGCACTGTGGCCATGCCAGTGGAACACTCTCCCTCGGAGTGTGGTGGAGTCTCTTTCTCTGGAGGCTTTTCAGCAGAGGCTATCGGGAGTGCTTTGATTGTGCCTTCTTGCACGACAGGGGGTTGGACTGGATGGCCCTTGGAGGGTCTCTTCCAGCTCTAGGATTCTATATCAGGAGTAGGCAATACGGGTCTCATGAATATACTTTTCCTCTCCCATCCACCATCTCATCTTACAAAAGGAGGGGAGGGATGGGGCCTGTCTTATTTCCCTTGGAAGGGCGTTCCAGAGGTGGGGGGCCACTACTGAGAAGGCCCTCTCTCTCATCTCCACCAACCGTACTTGTGACGGTGGTGGGAGTGAAAGTAGGGCCTCCCCGGAAGATCTTAGAGTCTACAAGAGAAACCATGAAACTGGACTGCAGACCAATGAAAGCACCTTTCATTCTCTCCAACTCAACAGGAACAAGACTGGTGAATGGCACAAACCATTGCTCTGGAAGAGTTGAAGTGTTCCTCGATGGAGAATGGGGGTCGGTGTGTGATCATCGATGGGACCTGAGTGATGCTCAAGTCGTGTGCAGAGAACTCGGCTGTGGAGGAGCTCTGTCAGCCCCAGGAAAAGCTCACTTTGGAAAAGGAAACGGTGCCATCTGGATAGATGAAGCCCAGTGTTTGGGGACAGAAGTTGCCCTTCAGAAGTGCCCCTTTAACATAAAACATGGTTGTAGTCATAAAGAAGATGCTGGTGTTGTGTGCTCAGGTAACTGATAAAAAAAATAAGAATATTGCTTATTCTCTTTGGGGTTTTACAGTTCACAGGAGAAGGGTTTGAAATTAACCAATCTTTAAATCTGGATATTGAAAGAAGAAATTCTAGTACAAATCTCTAGTGCTAGGAAAGATTAGGTATGATGCTCGCTTGATGAACACTAGGGCTGTGCAAACTTTTCGTTAGTTGTCGTAAGTCGGATCAAATTCGTAAAATTTGTACTTATGACACGATATCCAGCACTTGGATGTGACCTGCACCAAAAACTTAGGAATAGAAACTTACTCAATACATTTTAGTTTCAATTTTTTTAACCTCAGAAGTCTCCTAAAGTCATTTTCATCACAAGCAAGCAAAGCCAAGCCAAAAAGGCTGCCATTATTCTTTAAAATAATGGCCTCTCGCCACAAGGAGAGAGAAGCAGCAAGGAGAAAGCTGGGAAGGAGACTAAGAAAGCACAGAATTCTGGGAAATGTAGTCTCTTCCAATTCTATGATTCTATGATTATTGTAATACATCTTTATAACTAAGGGAGAGGGGTTTATTGCTACTTGAATTACAGTCTTTCTCCCACACCTCTACCTATGAAATAAAGGCCCAATTTCCATACTATTGTTGAAGGCTTTCATGGCTGGAATCACTGGGTTGTTGTGGGTTTTTCGGGCTGTATGGCCATGTTCTAGAAGCATTCTCTCCTGTCGTTTCATCTGCATCTATGGCAGGCATCCTCAGATGGTTGTGAGGTCTGTAGGAAACTAGGAAAATTGGTTTTATATATCTGTGGAATAATGTCCAGGATGGGAGAAAGAACTCTTGTCTGTTGGAGCTAGGTGTGAATGTTTCAATTGGCCTCCTTGATTAGCATTTGATGGCCTGACAGGTTTTAGGTGTAGCTTGTTGCTGCCTGGCGGAATCCTTTGTTGAGAGGTGATTAGCTGTCCAGGATTGTTTCTTGTCTGAAATTCCCGTGTTTGAATTTAGTTCTTTGTTTACTGTTTTAATTTTAGAGGTTTTTAAATACTAGTAACCAGATCTTGTTCATTTTCATGGTTTCTTCCTTTCTTTTGAAAGTGTCCACGTGCTTGTGGATTTCAATGGCTTCTCTGTGCAGCCTGACATGGTGGTTGTGAGAGTGGTCCAGCATTTCTGTGTTCTCAAATAATATGCTGTGTCCAGGTTAGTTCACCAGATGCTCTATGGCTGACTTCTCCAGTTGACTTAGTCTGCAGTGCCTTTCATGTTCCTTGATTTGTGTTTGGGCAATGCTGCGTTTTGTGGTCCCTACGTAAACTTGCCCACAGCTGCATGGTATACGGTAGAGGTGAGAGGATCCCCCTTGTCTTTTGCTGAATGTAGCATTTGTTGGATTTTCTTAGTGGGCCTGTAGCTAAGGGAGCTTCCCAATGCAGTCAGGAACTCCCTTGATGTATGGCAAGAACACTTTTCCTCTGGATAGATCTTTGTCTTTACTCTTATGGCTTTTTCTCGGACTTGCAGCTCTTCTGAATGGAGTCTCCATTGGCCTGTAAAGCCCAGTTTAAGTGGTTCAAGGAACATTAGTTTGTTTTAGGTTTGTTCCGAGAGGTCAAAAATCATTTGTGATCTTTTTAGAGGTATGTCTAGCAGTATCATTAGTTCCTACATGAATCAACATGAGAGGAGGAGGGTGATGGAGCTTGAGGAGCTTAGTGATCCTCTGAGTGACATGGTTTATTTTTGCCCTTGGGAGACAACATGTTTATCAAGCCATGCTGTCTGGTTTGGAAGTGACGGCTTTCATTTTTCTAAGGAGGGAGTCACCTACTACCAAGACCTGTTTCCTTTGAGGATTGACAGGACCCCCTTTGTGCAAGGCAGTGTGTAGGTTCCCTGAAAAGTGTTCTTGTTGGAAGTGGATTGTGTAGGTGTAAAGTGTTCTCCTCCTCCTCCTCAACATCCCCGGTGCATTCATCAAGGACAATCCATTGAGATAGGTCCAAGAGCCCGTCGTTCTCCCAGGTACGTTCCTGTTGTGCCTGATGTACAATTGGAGACGGAGCATCTGCATGATTGTGTAGCTGTGAATGTGGTGGGGCATCATCTCAGTAAGGGCTAGCCCCCAAGCATTGATCAAGGACGGTCCTCTGAGTGATATCTTAGTAATTGTGGTCATCCCCAAGATGTTGAGTTTCCTGATCAAGTGTTAGCGCTGTAAGAATTTGGAATCTATTGTGGAACTCCAGCTGAGCAGAACTATTCTGAGGAGGTTGCCTGGTCCAGTGTCTCTTTCTAAGGGTGACATTCTTCCAAGCCTGAGGTTGGTCCACATCTGAAGTGATCTCATAAGCTTCCCTATCATGTTGGTGTTGGGTGATGTGGGTTGCATATCTAGAACAGCATGTTGTGCATTGTCCAAGAAGAGCTCAAGTTCCTGAATGTCCTTAATTGTCTTAATTCGGTCCTCAAGTAGTCAAATTCTCTGTTTGCACTTGGTTTAGATGTAGTTGAATAGTTGTTGTGTGAAGATGCTGAACATGCCACAGGTTGTGATGGGAACATTTTTCTTTTGTTCCATCTTGTGAGTGAGGATACCAAGCAGGATTCTTATACTAAACTCTTACTAAATGTTGACCATTTCCGCTACCTCGGCAGCCACCTGTCCACAAAAGTCAACATTGACACTGAAATACAACACCACCTGAGCTCTGCGAGTGCAGCATTTTTCCAAATGAAGCAGAGAGTGTTCTAAGACCGGGACATCTGTAGGGATACCAAGGTGCTTGTTTATGAAGCTATTGTAATCCCAACCCTGCTATATGCCTGCAAAATGTGGACTACCTACAGATGTCACATGCAACTCCAGGAAAGATTATTTCAGTATTGCCTCCTAAAAATCCTGCAGATCTCTTGGGAAGGCAGGCAGACAAATGTCAGCGTGCTGGAAGGAGCAAAGACCACCAGCACTGAAGTGACGGTCCTCCGCCATCAACTCCATTGGACCGGCCACGATGTCCAAATGCCCGATAACCATCTCCCAAAGCAGTTACTCTACTCTGAACTCGAGAATGGAAAACGTAATGTTGGTGGACAGGAAAAGAGATTTAAAGATGTGCTCAAAGACAACCTTAAAAACATAGACACTGAGAACTGGGAAGCCCTAGCCCTTGAGCGCTCTAGCTGGAGGTCAGCTGTGACCAGCAATGCTGTAGAATTTGAAGACGCATAAATGGAAGGTGAAAGAGAGAAACATGCCAAAAGGAAGGTGAGCCAAGCTAACCCCATGACCACCTTCCACCCAGAAACCGATGCCCTCACTGCGGGAGAACATGCAGATCAAGAATCGGGCTCCACAGTCACCTACGGACCCACCGCCAGGACACCAAACTTGGAGGGCAATCTTACTCGGACAATGAGGGATCGCCTAAGTAAGTAAGAAAGTCTTACTCTTCTAGTTTTCCAGTAGGCTCCAATGTCATTACAATGGCAGGCATTCCTGTTAGCTACTCCCTACTACAGTGGTTCTCAACCTGTGGGTCCCCAGATGTTTTGGCCTTCAACTCTCAGAAATCCTAACAGCTGGTAAACTGGCTGGGATTTCTGGGAGTTGTAGGCCAAAACACCTGGGGACCCACAGGTTGAGAACCACTGCCCTACTAAAACATATTTAGATTTAGTGTATATAGTCTAGCCAAGGCTAACAACAGAATTGTTGCCCATTACTGTGTAATCACCATTAATCTCTTACTCTATTTTTTATAGAAGACCTCCGTTTAATGAACGGCACAAGTCCCTGCTCAGGGAGGGTTGAAGTCTTACACAATAACACATGGGGAACCATTTGTGATGCGAGCTGGGATTTACAAGATGCTCAAGTGGTCTGCACCCAGTTGAGCTGTGGAAAGGCCTCCAAAGCACTGGGTGGAGCACATCATGGCCAAGGATCGGGCCCCATCTGGCTGGGGAACATCAACTGTACAGGAGAGGAAGCATCTCTGGAGGAGTGCCAGAAAGGAGGCTGGGGGGAGCACAGTTGCAACCACAGCCAGGATGCCAGCGTGGAGTGTTCAGGTACATGTCTTTCACAGGTATTACTTACTGAAGATTGCAAGCGGTTCATGTTTCCTCAAAGCGATCATGGTTAAGGGGAGTCTTTATCCTCCAGTACCATGTACCCAAATTATGGCTCAGCAACCAGGCAAGGCAAATTTTGTCCACTGATAGTTTGGAACTGAAAAATGCCAGGGATCTTAACTGCAGAGAAGCTTTTATAGTCTCAGGAGGAACTCAGTTTGGAGGTGATCATGGTTCCATTTTGTTATTTGATACTGGATGTCAACGAATAGGAATATTCTTCACTCTCTGTCACTTGAAAACCCGAAATGTTGTCTTTTGTCCCACTCACAGAATTTCACAAAAGGGAGTGAGTGGTTTACAAATGAATGCAGTCTTTAGGTTATTTATGGAGGTGCAGAGTACCCCATGGTAGAAATCAGTACCAACAAATGTGTATCACTGGGAGATAAGAGGAGTTGTGTTGCAAAGTTTTACATTGCTTCCGCATTGATTTCACAAGTCAGTTTGCCACTCATGATGAATGGTCCTTAAACTGGGAAGGTATACAAGAGAAACCATGGAACTGGACTGCAGATCAATGAAAGCACTTTTCATTTTCCCCAAACCAACAGGAACCAGACTGGTGAATGGCACAAACCGTTGCTCTGGGAGAGTTGAAGTGTTCCTCGATGGGGAGTGGGGGTTGGTGTGTGATGATCGGTGGGACCTGAGTGATGCTCAAGTCGTGTGCAGAGAACTTGGCTGCGGAGGAGCTCTCTCAGCCCCAGGACAAGCCCACTTTGGAAAAGGAAACGGTGCCATCTGGATAGATGAAGCCCAGTGTTTGGGGACAGAAGTTGCCCTTCAGAAGTGCCCATTTGAAAGAAAACATGATTGTAGTCATGAAGAAGATGCTGGTGTTGTGTGCTCAGGTAACTGATAAAAAATAAGAACTGTTGATTATTCTTTTTGGACTTTTACAGTTCACAGCTTAAAATTAACCTGTAAAGAAGAAATTGCAGTACAAATTTCTAGTGCTAGGAAAGACTACGTATGATGCTTGCTTTTGAACACTAGAGTTGTGCAAAATTTATCTTAGCCGTTGCCAGTCGGATCAAATTCGTTAAATTTGTACTTATGATGTGATATCCAACATGTGGGCATGAGCTGAGCCAAAAATTTAAGAATAATACTTTTTCGTTTGAATTTTTTAAACCTCGGGAGTCTCCCAAAGTCAGTTTCATTTTTAGCACAAGCAAGCAAAGCAAAGCCAAAAAGGCTATCATTTTGGACTCACACTTGCTGAGGTGTCTCTGTAGATCTTAGAAAACTATTTCTTGATTTAAGTCTTTGGTGTGCTGGCTGATATCCGAACAGGGGATGGACCAGAGATTTCATTGCCTTGTCGCTTCTGGTGTGAGAGAATCAGCTGTCTACGAAGACGTTGCCCAGGGAATGCCCGGATGTCTTGCAATCCTACGGGGAGGCTTCTCTCATGTCTAAAACATTGTGTTTTTGTTGAATTAAAAATGCATTACAACTGTACCCTTGGTTCTCTCCTGATAATTAAATAAATAAATAGTTGAATGGTAAATCAACATATAGGTAAAAACCTATAGATTCAGTGTGTATAATCGCATTAAGGCAAAGCTAAGAACAGAATTTAGGCCTGATCTCTATTACCACTACCATTAATCTTTTACTACGTTTATCTCTTTTCTCTTCAAGATCTCCGTTTAATGAATGGCACACGTACCTGCTCTGGGAGGGTTGAAGTCTTTCACAATGACACGTGGGGGACCATTTGTGGTGCTGGCTGGGATTTATTAGATGCCCAAGTGGTCTGCAGGCAGCTGGACTGTGGCAGTGCTTCCAAAGCATTGGACGGAGCACACTATGGCCAAGGATCGGGCCCCATCTGGCTGGAGAGCATCAACTGTACAGGAGGAGAAGCATCCCTGGAGGAGTGCCAGAAAGGAGGCTGGGGAGAGCACAGCTGCAGCCACAGCCAGGATGCCAGCGTGGAGTGTTCAGGTACATGACTTTCCCAGTTTGCCTTACTAAAGCCTGCATTGGGTTGATCTCTTCTCAAAACCAGCATCATCAGGAAACCACAAAAATAAACAAAATCTACCAGTATTAAAACAATCTCTTTCTGGGGTCTTGTTAAAGCTGAGTACATAATGTACAATATTCTCGATCTTCAACCAGAACAGAATCCGTTGTCTTGGTACATCGTTTGAGGCAGTTTACTGACTGCATCTCCTTAACAAAGCTGCTGACGTAGATTTCCAGCTGTTATTACTATGCAGCACAGTCTACTTTCTTGCAATACTAGAACAAATAAAAGACTATAGCAGGAAAAATGGCTTCCCAAGCCCCTGTGTGGGCCTAGATCAGTGTTTCTCAACCTGGGGAGGTCATGAGGGGGATGTCAGAGGGGTCGTCAAAGACCATCAGAAAACACAATATTTTTATTTGTTGGTCATGGGGTTCTATGTGGGATGAGAGTCCCTTCAAGGCATGGGGGTTCTGTGTGGGAAGTTTGGCCCAATTCTATCATTGGGGGGTTCAGAATGCTCTTTGATTGTAGGTGAACTATAAATCCCAGCAACTACAACTTCCAAATGTCAAGGTCTATTTCCCCCCCGAACTCTACCAGTGTTCACATTTGGGCATATTGAGTATTTGTGCCAAGTTTGGTCTAGATCCATCATTGATTCACAGTATTCTCTGGATGTAGGTGAATTACAACTCCAAAACTCAAGGTCAATGCCCACCAAACCCTTCCAGTATTTTTGTTAGTCATGGGAGTTCTGTGTGCCAAGGTTCGTTCAATTCCATCATTGGTGGAGTTTTATTGTAGGTGAACTATAAATCCCAGCAACTACAACTCCTAAATGACAAAAATCAATCTCCCCCAACCCCACCAGAATTCAGATTTGGGCATGTTTGGGAATTTGATTCAAATTTGGTCCATGAATGAAAATACATCCTGCATATCAGATATTTACATTATGATTCATAACAGTAGCAAAATTACAGTTATGAAGTAGCAACGAAAATAATGTTATGGTTGGGGATCACCACAACATGAGGAACTGTACTACGGGGCCACGGCATTAGGGCGGTTGAGAAACACTGGCCTAGATAGGAGAGCAAAATATTTTACATATGGAACTGGGGTCCCAGCTACAAGAGACACCTGTAATAATAAATCAATTAAATTCTCCATAGCTCTGTACATCATTTCCATTTCAGCAACTGATTCCATCAGTGTATTTTGGTTGGGAGTAGTGGTTGAAGCAAGGACACTGGGATCAGTTAATAATAATTTCACGTTGCAGCCAGCACCTGAATTGTCCTTCCTTCTTTGTTGCCATTGCAGTTATTACAGCTGTTGAATTCTCCCTTGAAAGAAGCATTCGCCTGGGAGTGGCTGCCTTGGTCTTCCTTGTCTTGGTGGGGATTGTGGCTGAGGCTGGATGCAAGAGAAGGAAGAAGACAAGGAGGAGGAGGAGAGAGCAGCAGCCTTAAGCAGCCATCCTCACTGACCAGTTCCAGGGATCAAACTCTGTCTGTCAGTACGGTGGAGCCAGAGGCAGAAGGAATGTCATGTGCAGTTAGGAGTTCATTGGAATCTATCAGTATAACAATATACAGTAAATAAATACGATATATCATTGTATATCTATATGCTACTTATAAAACATCGATCAATGTTTTGTTTGTTACATATTCACTTTCATAGGAATTTTGGGAAGTCTCCTTCTTCAGAAAGGCAAATCAAATAAATAAATCTGACATGTTTATCTTTCAAAGTACAGTATTTGCCGGTGTATAAGATGACCCCCCAGCTTTTCCAGTTAAAACAGTGTTTCTCAACCTGGGGGTCGCGAAGGGATGTCAGAGGGGTCGCCAAAGACCATCAGAAAACACAGTATTTTCTGTTGGTCATGGGGGTTCTGTGTGGGAAGTTTGGCCCAATTCTATCATTGGTGGGGTTCAAAATGCTCTTTGTTTACATGTTAACTATAAATCCCAGCAACTACAACTCCCAAATGACAAAAACAATCCCCCCTCCAACCCCACCAGTATTCAAATTTGGGCATACTGGGTATTTGTGCCAAATTTCCTCTAGTGAATGAAAATACATCCTGAAGATCATTATTTACATGGCGATTCATAATGTTAGGGTTATGGTTGTGGGTCACCACAACATGAGGAACTGTATTAAGGGGTCGCGGCATTAGGAAGGTTAAGAACCATTGAGATAAAATATAGAGTTTGGGATATACTTGCCGTATAAGACTACCCCACTTCCAATGCACACCAAATAAAAATTTAGAAAACATCAGATTTAATTTCAATATTTTAAGTTTCCTATTACCATACCTCCTTCTCTGCCTCTCAGATTTCGCACACACGGGCCTGCGCCACTTCACTGCAATCCTCAGGAGCGAAATCTGACAGGCAGAGAAGGAGGTATGGTGATAGGACACAAGGGCGGACCAGACGGGTGAAAGAGGCGTGTCTTTCTGGGCACAGTGCTGCTCTATCTCTTTTTTCCATACCCCGGGCATCCCGGACACCTGCAGCTTGCTCCATCCTTCACTTAGTGTTTCTCAACCTGGGGGTCGGGACCCCTGGGGGGGTCGCAAGGGGGTGTCAGAGGGGTCGCCAAAGACCACCAGAAAACACATATTTCTGATGGTCATGGGGGTTCTGTGTGGGAAGTTTGGCCCAATTCTACTGTTGGTGGGGTTCAGAATGCTCTTTGATTGTAGGTGAACTATAAATCCCAGCAACTACAACTCCCAAATGATAAAATCACACACCCCCAACCCCACCAGTATTCAAATTGGGCATATCGGGTATTTGTGCCAAATTTGGTCCAGTGAATGAAAATACATCCTGCGTATCAGATATTTACATTACGATTGATAACAGTAGCAAACAGTTATGAAGTAGCACCGAAAATAATTTTATGGTTGGGGGTCACCACAACATGAGGAACTGTATTAAGGGGTCGTGGCATTAGGAAGGTTGAGAATCACTGACTTACACCTTCCCGGTGAGGCACCCTCTCCTCGGCATCAGGACCCGCATTAAGTCACCTCTTTCCACAATTCCTGGTGAGTGGATTTTCTTCAACTGTACTTGCCTAGCACCACCCTTGCTGCTTTCATAATAATAATATAATAATAATAAACTTTATTAGTTCTTGTGGGTTTTTTCGGGCTATATGGCCATGTTCTAGAGGCATTTCTCCTGACGTTTCGCCTGCATCTATGGCAAGCATCCTCAGAGGTGAGGTCTGTTGGAACTGGGAAAAGGGTTTATATATCTGTGGAATGACCAGGGTGAGACAAAGGACTTTTGTCAGTTGGGCTAGGTGTGAATATTTCAACTGACCACCTTGATTAGCATACAATGGGCTGACTGTGCCTGGAGCAAACTCTTCTTGAAAGGTAATTAGATGTCCCTGCCTGTTTCCTCTCTGCTGTTTTTGCTGTGTAATTTTTTTTTTGAATTTTTTAATACTGGTAGCCAGATCTTGTTTATTTTCGTGGTTTCCTCCTTTCTGTTGAAATTGTCCACATGTTTGTGTATTTCAATGGCTTCTCTGTGTAGTCTGACATGGTGGTTGTGAGAGTGGTCCAGCATTTCTGTGTTCTCAAATAATATGCTATGTCCAGGTTGGTTCATCAGGTGCTCTGCTATGGCTGACTTTTCTCTGGTTGAAGTAGTCTGCAGTGCCTTTCATGTTCCTTGATTCGTGTTTGGGCAATGCTGCGTTTGGTGGTCCCTATGTAGGCTTGTCCACAGCTGCATGGTACACGGTAGACTCCTGCAGAAGTGAGAGGATCCCTCTTGTCCTTTGCTGAATGTAGCATTTGTTGGATTTTCTTGGTGGGTCTGTAGATAGTTTGTATGTTGTGTTTCCTCATCAGCTTCCCTATGCGGTCAGTGGTTCCCTTGATGTATGGCAAGAACACTTTTCCTCTGGGTGGATCTTTGTCTTTACTCTCGTGGCTTGTTCTTGGTCTTGCAGCTCTTCTGATGTCTGAGGTGGAGTATCCATTGGCCTGGAGAGCCCAGTTGAGGTGGTTCAGTTCATCTTGGAGGAGGTGGGGTTCGCAGATTCTTTTTGCACGGTCTGCCAAGGCTTTAATGGTGCTTCTTTTTTGGCTTGGGTGATGGTTGGAGTTTTTATGTAGATATCTATCTGTGTGTGTGGGTTTTCTGTAAACGGTGTGACCCAATTGTTGATCTGGTTTGCGGATGACTAGGACATCTAGAAAAGGCAGTCTTCCTTCCTTTAAACTTTATTTATACCCCGCCACCATCTCCCTGATGGGGACTCGGAGCGGCTTACATGAGGCCAAGCCCGAAACAACAATTACAATAAAGAAAAACCAAGACACAACCAAAAATGCGAACAATAAACAATAACATCATAATTACATAAAACATATGGATACAGTTGCCGCTTATGGCGGGGATGCAGACGTAGCCAATTTTTAGCTCATCCCATCATATGCAGCAACCACAGATTTAGAGAGTTCACACAAAACATGTTTTTCTCTTATCTTTGTCGGTGTTTTTCAAAACACTGAGAAGCACTGCAGATATAATGTTCCTTCCTGTTACAATTATCAAGATGATAGTGATCTTTTCTTGACAAAGCCCGAGAGATTTGATTTTACACATTGGGAGTAATCTTTGAAAGCAATAATGTTAAGAAGAGTATCAAGGGCAGCGTGGTGCAACTTCTTGCAGTATGCCTGAGAAAAACTGTGTATAAAATTTGGAGAGAGGCTGGGGACGATTATGTCTAGGTGAAATTTTGGAAATAATAAAAATTGTATTTGTTGGGTTGTTGTAGGTTTTTCAGGCTACACGGCCATGTTCTAGAAGCATTCTCTCCTGAGGTTTGCCTGCATCTATGGCAAGCATCCTCTGAGGTTGTGAGGTCACAATGGCATCTATGGCAAGCATTCACATCTTATGGGGGGCATCTCTAAGGGGCTGCTAGAGAGTGCCTGGTCGGTAGGCTGGGCCAGTTCCATACACAGGCTGGTGGAGTACAACCAGGTACTCTCTAGAAGCCCTTTAGTTAAAGATGGGGGAGCATCACTAAAGGGCTGCTAGAGAGTACCTGGTTGTTAGGATAGGTCCCTCCCACTCAGGACGGTGGAATGGCAATTAAAGATGGGGGAGCGTCTCTAAAGGGCTGTTAGAGAGTACCTGGTTGGTAGGCTGGGACCCCCCCCCCCCCCCCCACTCCAGTGTCTCTCTTGTCAAGATTATGTTGTTGTTCATTCGTTCAGTCGTCTCCGACTTTGTGACCTCATGGACCAGCCCACGCCAGAGCTCCCTGTTGGCCATCACCACCCCCAGCTCCTTCAAGGTCAGTCCAGTCACTTCAAGGATTTATTTATTTGTCGTGTCAGAATAAACCAGTCAAATTATGTTACATTTCTAACAGAACAAAGCAAAACAAGCAGATTACAAAATTTGTAATCAAGGATGCCATCCATCCATCTTGCCCTTGGTCGGCCCCTCTTCCTTTTGCCTTCCACTTTCCCCAGCATCATTGTCTTCTCTAGGCTTTGCTGTCTCCTCATGATGTGGCCAAAGTACTTCAACTTTGTCTCTAGTATCCTTCCCTCCAATGAGCAGTCGGGCTTTATTTCCTGGAGGATGGACTGGTTGATCTTCTCGCTCCAGCAAAGGATCACCGCCTTGTCGGGCGCTGGAGCTTGAGCACCTCAATGATGTCATGAGCGAAACCGGGAAGGGCCACCCAAGACGGGACGGTTGTGGCAGAGAGGTCAGACCAAGCGTGATCCCTGGGGAAGGCAATGGCAAACCACCCGAGTATCCTTGCCAAGAAAACTAAATGGACCAGTTAAAGATTATAGGAAGGGCTTTTATATGTCAGTTTGGGGGCTATTTTTTCAGATGGGTCTTGGGGACTATCTTTCAGCCTGTTGTGTTGTATTGAAATTCTCTCTTCTCACCTGTCAAGCAATTTGAGTGAGAAGAAGTGCCCTATCTCCCAGAATCTAATCCAAAGTTTTCCATTTATCCCAGATTATCTGTCAGTGGAGACCCATAGAATCCATTTCAAAACAGAAAACCTGGGATAGTTGGCCTGTCTGGAAGGACCTTAAGGTGCACCCCTTTCACAACACCGGGATTGTGGCGCCGCTGGCACCGGGATTGTGTCGCAGCTTGCTGAGTGTCAGCTGCATTAAGATCACTCTGACCAAAAGGTCATGAGTTCGAAGCCAGCCCGGGTTGGAGTGGGTTTCCAACCAATTGTGTAGCCTGTTGTCGACCTTTGCAACCCGAAAGACAGTTGCATCTGTCAAGTAGGAAAACAAGGTACCACCTTAAAGTGGGGAGGCTAAATTAACTGATTTATGAGGCCATAAAGAAGACTCCAGCAAAAACATTCCAGCGGGGAAGAATGCGGAAGTGCTTCATCGGCGTCGCAGATGGACAGTGAAAGCAACAGCTCCCCAGGCGGGCAGAAAAAGTTAAATAGCCTCTGTGTGGTCTATATATGTTTGTAAGTCAATAACTGGCATTGAATGTTTGCCATATATGTGTATACTGTAATCCGCCCTGAGTCCCTTGCGGGATGAAAAGGGCGGAATATAAAAACTGTAAATAAATCAATAAATAAACTAAACACAGGAAGAGGCTTGCCCTCAATTCCTCCATCTGTGAGCATGTCTTCACTTCCTTTGTCCTTACAGCTTCTTCAGGCAGCATCCGCACTACTTCAATTGCCATGTCTGCATGCTATGGGATAATGGGAGTTGTAGTCTTTCCATGCCTTTTGCTTTCCGTGCCCAAGAGTGTTGGTGTCCTAGTAAACTACAAATCCCACCATTCCATAGCATTGGGTCATAGCAATTCAAACTGCATTTGTTTGGCATGGGCAAACTTTGGTCCTTGAGGAGTTTTGGACTTCAACTCCCACCATTCCTGGCTTCAGGCCCATTCCTTTTCCCCCTCAGCCGCTTAAGCGGCTGAGGGGGAAAAGGAAAGGGCCTGAGGCCAGGAATGGTGGGAGTTGAAGTCCAAAACTCCTCAAAGACCAAAGTTTGCCCATGCCTGGTGTAGTTGCATCTACTGTGAGTTCCCACCCATGCCTTTCCATTGACACCCAGCAGCCCTGTGTTTGGTGGGGCCTGGTCCTGACACACAGTCAGCCTCCAAAGCACCATGGAGCCCATCCTGCTTCCTAGAGAGGCAGGGCATTGTTTTGCCCAGGAAGTCCTTGGAGAGAGCAAACCAAGGAGCGTCGCTTCCGCTTCCGCTTCTCTCCTTGGTGAGGCCGGAAGACTGAAAGCAGGGGAAGAGGAGCCACGAGGAGGTAGGGATGCCATGCTGGGGCTGCAATATTGGCCTGATGGAGAGCTTTCTTGGGGCCACCAGGTGCAATGCTTGGGGAGCAGGATGCAATGCTGGGTTGCAAGATTGGAGGGAAAGGAAAACCTTTTCCTGGTTAGTTTCACTTTTTCCCCTGGAGCAGGGAATAAGGGGGGGGGGGGTTAAGGAGGGGTCTCTCCCCAAAAATATGTTTTATTCAGATGTAAATAAATCCCCAGCCTTGCTTAGAGCACTGGTTCTCAACCTGTGGGTCCCCAGATGTTTTTGCCTTCAACTCCCAGAAGTTGACAAGCTGGAATGTGTCCTGAGGAGGGTGACTAAAATGATCAAGAGTCTGGAGAACAAACCCTATGAGGAGCGGCTTAAGGAGCTGGGCATGTTCAGCCTGAAGAAGAGAAGGCTGAGAGGAGATTGATAGCCATGTATAAATATGTGAGAGAAAGTCACAGGGAGGAGGGAGCAAGCTTGTTTTCTGCTGCCCTGGAGACAAGGACGCAGTAGAACAATGGCTTCAAACTACAAGAAAGGAGATGCCACCTGAACATGAGGAAGAACTTCCTGACTGTGAGAGCCGTTCAGCAGTGGAACTCTCTGCCCCGAAGTGTGGTGGAGGCTCCTTCTGTGGAGGCTTTTAAACAGGGGTATCCCATAATAATTGGGAGCCCCCAGTGGCGCAGTGGGTTAAAGCACTGAGCTGCTGAGCTTGCTGTCAGCCCTAGCTTCTCCCAACTTAGCAGCTTGAAAACATGCAAATGTGAATAGATCAATAGGTACTGCTCCGGCAGGAAGGTAACGGCGCTCCATGCAGTCATGCTGGCCACATGACCTTGGAGGTGTCTATGGACAACCTGGCTCTTGGCTTAGAAATGGAGATGAGCACCACACCCCAGAGTCAGACATGACTGGACTTAATGTCAGGGGACTACCTTACCTACCTATCCCATAATACCCCACCAGAAATCTAAGGTCTATTCACCAGGTGAGAGAAGTGGGGAATGCAGCAAGAGGAGACATTTCTTTTACACTGATGTAAAGTGATTAATTTGCAAGCAACAGGTTAAACCATTGAGCTACTGAATTTGCTGACCTGAACTTGGCAGTTGGAATCTGTGGGATGGGGTGAGCTCCTGCGATTAGCCCCAGCTCCTGCCAACCTAGCAGTTTGAAAACATGCAAATGTGAGTAGATCAATAGGGAGGAGGGAGCAAGCTTGTTTTCTGCTGCCCTGGAGACTAGGACGCGGAACAATGGCTTCAAACTACAAGAAAGGAGATTCCATCTGAACATGAAAAAGAACTTCCTGACTGTGAGAGCCGTTCAGCAGTGGAACTCTCTGCCCCAGAGTGTGATGGAGGCTCCTCCTTTGGAAGCTTTTAAACAGGCTGGATGGCCATCTGTCAGGGGTGCCTTGAATGCAATGTTCCCGTTTCCTGGCAGGGGGGTTGTAAAGGGTGGCCCATGAGGTCTCTTCCAACTCTATGATTCTAAGTCCTAACAGAAAACTGGGCGACTTGGAAGGCGCTGAACAGACTATGCGCTCTGGCACCACGAGATGCAGAGCCAACCTTCAGAAATGGGGCTTCAAAGTGGAATCCTCGACATGCGAGTGTGGAGAAGAGCAAACCACTGACCACCTGTTGCAATGCAACCTGAGCCCTGCCACATGCACCATGGAGGACCTCCTTGCGGCAACACCAGAGGCACTCCAAGTGGCCAGCTACTGGTCAAAGGACATTTAATTAACTACCAAGCTTGCAAACTTTGTGTTTTGTCTGCCTGTTTGTTTGTTTTTTTGTTAAGAATGTAATACAAATGTCTAGTTGCTGCTGACACGATAAATAAAATAGTCCTTAACAGCTTGTAAACTGGCTGGGATTTCTGGGAGTTGCAGGCCAAAACACCTGGGGAGACTCACACATTTAGAAAGCAATGTGTGCAACTATGTTTTCTGGGCAAGATTTTTTTTTTCCAGGCTGTGTATTTCTGCCTGCATATTTCGCACCCAGATTTTAAAAAATAATTAAACCTCTCAACAGCTAAACTGCTTTACCTTCAAAATTGGAAAATACAGTTTGTGTGAGTCAATAGGACTTTGCCCAGCAGTGTTTTCTTTCGTTTCCATATATGGTCTGCTTTTAGTGTTTATGTGGCAGGAAGTGACGATGCAGAATAATAATCATAATCATAACTTTATTTTTATACCCCTCCTCCATCTCCCCTAAGGGACTCAGGGCTGCTTACAAAGGGACTTAGTAAGGTGAGATGTACTGTAGTTTTTCTTTATTACTTTATATTATATTATTGATGTATTTAATTAGTGAGGTGGGAAGGCAACGTTAAATATGTTTAAGTGTGGGTGGGAATTTGGAGTGGTAGAGTAGCAACTGGCTTTGACTTTGGGATGCTCAGAGGATGCTTGCCATAGATGCAGGCAAAACGTCAGTAGACAATGCCTCTAGAACATGGCCATATAACCCGGGGGGGAAAACCCTACAGCAACCCATTGTTTTATTTGCTTGCTTGTTTGTTAATGTATTGTTGTATTTCTATTTGACGGGCTTGACCTCATGTAAGCCGCCCGAGTCCCTTCGGGGAGATGGTGGTGGGGTATAAATAAAGTATTATTATTATTAGGAAAACAATTATATAGCCATGCAAAAGCTTTCAGTTGTTCATTGAAATCCACTTTCAGTGGGTTTTTTTCCAACCTGTACCTTTTTTTTTGTTTTTTTGTTTGCCTTCAAATAATTTCCAGCCTATAGTGAACCAAGGGTGTTTGTACTGGGCAGGGAAATAAAAGCCCAGTAATAAAGCCACTACAACACCTACACCAGGCTGGCTCTCTGCCCATAAATAGAACATGTTTAATAATTGATTTTTTTTTCTCCACAAGCAGGTAATGGGAAAGAACTTTTATGTAGCTTTCCATGAATCCATTGGAAGGAAGCAAGGATGAAGCAGGAATAAAGTGGATCAAGTGGAAAATAAGTCAACAAGTAGGGTGAGAAAAGCAGAAGGCATTCACTGTTTGGGAAAACGCAACAATTTCAAGTACTATTGGGCAGAGCTGAGTGAGCAGAGAGCAAGAGCCATAGAAATCCATGGAGTCTGAAAATAGTATCAGTCCAACTGTTTCCTCACACCAGAGAACCCGCAGTGGGGGCAAATCATTTAAATGCACAGAATGTGGTAAGAATTTCAACTGTAGAAGTCATCTTACTCGACATCAAAGGATACATACAGGAGAGAAACCATATCAGTGCACAGAATGTGGGAAGAGTTTCAGCATAAGAGGAAGCCTTACTGTCCACCAAAGAATTCACAGTGGAGAGAAACCATATCAATGCCTGGAGTGTGGAAAGAGTTTCCGTGTTGCTGGAAGTCTGACAATACATCAACGACTTCATACAGGTGAAAAGCCTTATAAATGCACGGAGTGCAAAAAGAGCTTCCGTTTAAGCAGTAACTTACTTTTACATAAACGAATCCACACAGGAGAGAAACCATATAAATGCCTAGAGTGTGGAGAGAGCTTCAATAACAAAGGAAGTCTTACTGGCCACCAAAGAATCCATACAGGGGAAAAACCATGTACATGCCTAGTGTGTGGAAAGAGCTTCCGTTTAAGTACTATCCTTTCTGCACATCGAAGAGTCCACACAAAGAAGAAACCACATAAATGTATGGAATGCGGAAAGAGCTTCGGTTCGAGTCAAGAGCTTACTTTGCATCGAAGACTCCACACAGGAGAGAAACCATATAAATGCCTGGAGTGTGGAAGGACCTTCCGGGAATCAGGGAAACTAACTCTGCACCAGAGAACCCACACAGGAGAGAGACCATATACCTGCCTAGAGTGTGGAAAGAGCTTCCGCCAAAAGCCGCATCTTACTACGCACCTGAGAATCCACACAGGGGAGAAGCCATATAAATGCCTAGAATGTGGAAAGAGCTTCAATAATGGCGGAAATTTCAGTAATCATCAAAAAAACCACACTGGGGAGAAACCGTATAAATGCATGGAGTGTGGAAAGAACTTCCGCTTAAGTACCAGCCTTACTTTGCACCAAAGAACCCACACGGGTGAGAAACCGTATAAGTGCACCACCTGCGGGAAAAGCTTCAGTCAACATTCACACCTTTCCATTCACCAGAGAAGCCACACAGGAAAGAAACCATATCAATGCACAGAATGCGGAACGCGTTTCAGCTGTAAAGATAGCGTTACTCGTCATGAAAGGATGCATGCGCAGGAAAAACAGCCAAATGCAAAGACCTCCAGTGAAAAGAGGAAACTGCGCTTCAAAAAGCCATTGTAGAGCTTGTTCCAAGTTTTTATCAGAATTTTCCTAATTGGGTGTTTATTAAAGTTTGGGTCTACTGGCCCTTTTCCATATATTAAGTGTGCTAGATTTTAAATCAGCTTCTTCAAGAACTGTGCATGTTTGATTATCAAAATGCATCCATGCTTTTAACCAAATTGGAATAGTAGCTTCAAAGGGCTGTTGAATAGATGGAAAACCTGTGGATGCGGAGATCCAACTATATGTCCGGATCTGTGGCTTTCTGGAGAAAAACTTACCTCACTAACAAAGTGGGAAGGCTTTATTTCAAAAGCATACATTGGGGTACAAAACAAAATTCCAACTGACACTTTACATTTCCAATCCCTCAACCTGGCTCTCCCCTTCATTGCTCCCGTTTCCATCACAACTCTCTCCCTTGTTTCAAATATACACAGGCCAGGTCTAAGGCGTGGTCTAATTTCCTGGCTTCACACAAAACCAGGAAATAAGGTTATGACATTATAATTCTTTTATATAGTGGCTGGTGCTCTTTAGTTGTTTTTTTTACCCAGTTTGAATCCCTGGATGTTATTGAATGACAACTCCCATCGGTTCTGATTATCCATCTTGTGGAATCAGAATAATGGGAATTGTCACCCAATAGCGCTAGTTGCTCAGGAGTTGGAGAAAGGTTAAA